GCAGGACTGTAGGGCATTTCTCATCCCCCTCAAGCAGATTCACAGCATGTAGATATGTTATGTATCCCGAGGTCTGTCATTTTAAACAGGTCACTTGTTTTTCAACTCTGTTAAAATTGGTGATGAATGTGGCTTGGTAGAGCTTAGTAGTCTATTTTGGGGAGGTAGAAGGTGAAGAGGGTCCATATTCATTCTTTGACATGAAATGAATGATTCAGGAAGATAATATTTACTTCCACTTGCTATTTTAAATACATGTTTAATGAAATAAACTGTAAAATATCCTGTTTTCTGTATTATATGTACATTTGATTTTTTAATAGCCTTTCCAAAGAAATGAGGTCATGATTCTTGTCCATTACTGTGACTGATTTAATTTGATGTACAGAACAGGTTGTATTCTTAAGGGTGAAAATAATTGACGGCACTCACGCTCGTGTTTTGAGTCTTTTATTTCTGAAACACTCGAACATCTTACCAAGTGCGAAGTAGGTGATAGTGATCCAACTTGTTTGCTAAATGAATATTTGTTTAAATCTGTACAGTTTCAAGTGTTTACTTATACAAAGAGTGTACATACTTTCAAATAATTAATTTAAAATGCTTTATATTATTTGGCTAGAAATTGCTGTTTTTAATAAATGTGAATTTTCTAAGAAATAAAGATTTTCGCTTCTTACTTTGTCCTTACATGTCTGCTATGTGTGTGGATTCATTTTAAAAATATTTTCAGTTAAGGTTTTTATTGAGGTAGCTTGTGTTTCACATGCAGTTGTGAGAAATAATACAGGGAGATACTGTGTGCCTTTACCCAGTTTCTCCCAATAGGAACAGCTTGCGAAGGTTGAACCCATTATCATGAACAGGATGTTGGCACCGGTACACTCCGCCAGTCTCTCCAGATTTCCTCTGCCTGTACTGTGTAGATGTTTTAGTAAGATCATTCTTGTGGAAAGACATCTTTGAAGCATCTTAATGTTTCATTAGTTGAAAGATAATATTTTCTTTGTTTTTACAACTACCAGTTTCCTGAATACCAGCAGCACAAGTAAGTCATGTTGAAATTCAGTGTTATTGAAGTAGCCATAAGAAGTTTGTATTTTGCCCCTGGTTTAACATTCCCCCCCCCCCATATCTTTAAATTCCCTTCTGCTATTTATTATCTTACAAGAAAGAATAGTCGACGGTGGTTTTCAAAGAGGTAGGTTGCTTCTCAGAAGAGAGGAACTTTATTGCCACCTCCACACCTCCGCAGAGCACTAGCTCCTGGAGGTGACTCCATTAGCTTGTGTGTCTTCGACGGCTCGCGGGACCCCTGTGTGTCCGTCCATCCGGCCTCACTGCTCCTCCTCCAGAGCTGCCTGCTCCGTGAGTGCACGCAACAGAAGACGCCGCGGTCTCACTTAGGCAGGAAAGGGCTTTTTTGGAAGGAAATGGGGGACTCCGTGGACAGACCAGAGGCCGGAGAGCCAGAGGGATAAGAAGAGGAAACAGCACAGAGCTAAGTGTTTTTTCAAAGCAGAAGGAGCTGGTCCAGCCCACCGCTGGCGCAGGGTCCTGGACTGGGCGTCCTCCCAGCTGCTTTCACTTGGGCGAGCTCAGGACGACAGTCTCTCTCTCTGCCAGCTACTGATTTATTGCCTCTCAGCTCCAAATCCACCTTTTTTTGGCCCTTCTTTCAGACTCGAGAGCTGGACCCTGAGAACCTTCCTCGTTTGCCAGCAGGTGCAGAGTTAGGCTTCGTAGGGTCCCGGGCACAGGGGAAGGGGTCTCCTGTTTCTGGTGTGCGGTGTTCCGTCTACACGCGGCCAAGGCAGAGGCAGCGTGTGGGAGGCTGGCGACGCTCGCTCTCTAGTGAAATTCCTTGGTCTCCAAGTAGGAAGCGTGCGGCTCCCAGCACTCTGGCGAAACCCCTCCGGCCAGCGGCCAGTCCTCGGCCTTGGTGCTGGTGGGGGCGCTTCCAGGTTCTAGTTCCCTGCTGGGCTCCTCTGCAGAGCGGGGAGCAGAGGCCTTGCATTTGCTGTTCCTGCTTTCCGGAGTTCTCTTGTAGTCCTTGAGTGTTAACTGGAAATCCTTTGTACTACATTTTCTCCATTCACATTACGGGTGTGGCCTGTGTCCTGACTGGACCCTGACCGATGCAACCTGTCTTAACAGTTTCCGTAGTGGGAGGCCGGGCGCTGCCGCCCGCCAGGGCTGCTCACACGCGGGCTGGCCTTCCACAGAGGCCAGAAAGATACCTGCACACCGTGTCTGCACGTGCTCTCTTCAGGTCTGCCCTACATGCCCCCTCTCCCCATGTCCCTGCACACACCATCTGCTCTCCTGTGGACTCCCAGCGTGAGCCCCCACCGCCACCCCTCCTCCCGCGGCCCCGCCCCTCTCACCCAGGGGACTCCGCTTTGCTGTGCTTCTCCGTAGAGCCACAATTTAGCTGTTTTGCTCTTGCTTGCCGCTCTGATCCCCACTCTAATCCCCCTGGGGGCAGACAACCTGTGGCCCCTGAGCTCGGCGTGGATCTGTTGCATGACCTAATTAGTTACTGAATTTGTAATTTCGTGGGCAGTGCACGAGGCTCCATTTGCCTTGGGGCGTGTACCCATGACGTTACTCGTTGGGAAACCTTGCGTGTAACTGAGCGGGTGGATATACATAAACAGACCAGCTCTGGTCATTTTCATTTCCCGGAGAGGCACCTTTTTTTTTGCCCCCAAGTCATTGAAGATAAAATGATAGTTAAGTCAGAATGTGTCCCCTCTGGAAGGTGAGGGCCTGGGAGGGGTCCAGGGGGTGAGTGAGGCAGAGAGTGTGTTTCAGGTTGAATTGTGTCCCTCCCCCCATCCCCCTACATTCCTGTGTTGAGGTCTTACCCCCCTGCCCCCCAGTAGGACTGGAAATGTGATCTTATATGGAAATAGGAAATAGAGTAGTTGTAGATGTGATTAGTTGAGACGAAGCCAGGCCTGGGTGGATCAGGCCCCTCATTCAACGTGACTGGTGTCGTTATAAAAGGGGAATTGGAAACAGGCACACGCAGCACCAGGTGAGGACCTACCAGAAGCTGGGCGGGGCGGATCACATCCTCCCTTCCTGCCGTCAGAGGGAAGCCCTGATCTCGACCTCCAGCCCCCAGGACTGTGATGTAAGTGCCTGTGGTGGAAGGCGCTGGCCTGTGGCCTTCGCGGGGACAGCTCTAGCGCATACGGAGGGTGGGACCTAGATCTGCGGAGCTCCTGGCCAACTGGTTGGTTGCCTTATTTCCCTCCCAGTCTGTGAGGTGATTCACGTGCCCTTAGGAAGATAGTCCCTGACGACTGTGCCGTTCTGTCCACTCTTGGATAACTCGGGCGCGGAGGAGCTGGAAATCGTTTCCTCCGTGTGAAATCTCTGGTGTTTGAAATGCTGGCAACAAGATGCTTTACAGTGGGGCTGAGCGCACAAAAATGCCTCTGCGAGGCCAGCTGTTTCCAAGCTCCGCATTAGTGGGGGAGTGTTTTCAGGTGTGTGAAAGGACGACCCCAGAGAGGGCTTGGCTGGGGATGGCGAGCCCACACAGAGGCGGCGGGCGGAGTGCTTTCCCGACACTACCCCCTCGAATCCCTACGGTGTAACTGTGAGGTGAGCTCTGTGGCTGTCCTCTTGTGACAGATGAGGACACTGAGTCACAGGGGGACTCATGACCTTGCCCAGGGTCCCACAGCTAGCGGACCGGCTGATCCCAGGGCATGGATGCCTTCAACGCCATGGGGGCCCACCTCCAGTCCTGGGGTGTGGGGGGACATCGGGGCCGGCTCTGAGACACAGCCACCGCGAGCTGGGGGCACGTGGTTGCTGCCGAGACCAACTTAGGTCTCTAGCGCCCGGCAAGGAAAAGGGCTTCTGTGCGCTCTGAGCATGGGCGCAGAACCAAGGGGACCCACAGAACCCGGACGTGGGCTTGCACAGGTGGTGCTACAGTGCCTGTGTCATTTATGGCTCATGACCTGGCCACCGAGTGACTGTTGTTTTAGTTGATGATACTATCTGCCAACAAGGTGTTACAGATAGTGGGAGTGACTGTGCACCCCCACTGCCAGCCTTCGCTTCCAGCTGTCCTGCTTCTGGCTGATGATGACTTGGGTGAAGGTCGGTGGCAGGCAGGGGGAGATCGGTGGGGAAGCAGGGCCGCGAAGGTGGGGCTCTGGTGTGACTGCGGCAGCAGGGGACCGCTCACTGCCAGGCTGGCTGGGCGGAAGGGGTTTCCTTTCTGGTCTTGGTTTAAGCTGCCCTGGAGGTCATCCCAGGAAGCTGGGGTGCCCCAGGGATGTAGAAGAGGCACCCTGTAGGGGGATGTCCAGCTCCCGAGGCCCCCTTTTCTAGAACCTACAGCCCCTCCACATGTACAGATATCCAGACATAGCCCCGCCCTTGCTTTTCACACGGGTTTGCACCAAGAGTGTCCTCCTCATCAAGCCAGGCCCGTCAGAGGCCTTCAGGGTGCACAGACATGTCTTCAGGACACGACACGTGTCACAGAGATGGGGATGAAAGTCCTCCTGCCTCTGGGGGCCTCCCGTGCTCTAGTTCTTTCTGAGACCCACCTCGCCCTCCGTCCAGATGACTCACTTCTCATTTCGCTTTACCTATTTGAGTTACTGACTGTTACCAGTGAGCAAAAGGGGCCCGGCTATTGGAAGTAGTGTCAGGGTGTGTCGTTTCAGGCTCCTGAGCAGCTCTTGGCTCCAAGGGACCTGCTGCGGTCTGGCCTTGGGTCGCTGTCTGGGTCCCCCTCTGCCTTGGCATGAGATGATGAGGTCATTTGTGATGAGGTTAGGGTTAGTGAGAACCTCTGGGGATATCTAGGCCCATTTTGCACATGAGGAAACTGGGGCATAAAGCTACTTGCCCCAGGTCACATGCCAACAGCTGGCAGAGGCGGGCTTTGAGACAGTCCGTGTCCTGGGTCAACTCGAGTACAGAAAGGCTGTGAAAGAACTTCCACGTGGAAGTGACCAGGGGAAGCAAGCAGGACAGGTGACATGTATTGCCTACAGAAACCACATGCTGCTCGTGCTATCTGTTCTGGGCTGAGTCTTTTCTGTGCCCGCCGTAGATTCCCTTAGCCTCTTGAAAAACGGTTTTCTAAACCAAGGAGCTGTGATGAGTCCCAAAGGACAAACCAACTCTCAAAAGACATAAACAGGGCTTGGGGGTTTTCCTTGGTGCCCCAATGAACCCACGTTCCCGAGACGCTCAGCCAGTGCTGGGGGAGCCCGGGCACAAGCTGGTGACTGCCCTAGCCTGGGAGGCAAGATTTCTTTTTCAGTTTCCTGTAGTCTCCTGTCGGGAACCTGTCATCTTCTATGAAGTTTTCCAAATCAGGGACTGTCAGGAAATTCAGGATCCTGCTCATTTTTCCCAGGAGGATCTGGATCTTCCGAGCTGTTGAACCACATTCTACCTCCAGGATGGGTTTCTGCCTCATTTCACTCAGCGCCTCCGGGGTTACGAACTGTGGGAATTCAGAGAAGGCTGGGTGAGAATAAATGCTGCCCAGGCATCGTGGTGTCCACCCCAGAATTAGGCCCTCCGTTGGCCAAGACTCAGTCTTGCCTGGAAACTGCACTCCAGGGCGCGTCTGTGCTCCCGGCCTTACCACCAGCAGCATGTCTCTCATCTGGCCTGGGCCTGTGGCCTCACGGACAATGTGGGCTGAGGACACAACTGAAGCCTGACCCCAAACCAAAGGGTTGTCAGCTCCTAGGCCCTCATGTGGCCTGCCTTCCAAAGGCTGTGCCTTCCTGGGGGTGTCTGGCTTCTCCCCATGGATTCCTACAGGTGAGGAGGGGTTGGGAGCCAGGAGCCTGAGGCCCTGCCGCGGCCGGGAAGCTGTCCACAGTGCCTGCCTGTGGGTCCCACTTCCAGCTTGGGCTCCCGTGGAGTGTGCCTGGACGAGGCACTGCCCTATGAAGCCACCGCTAGGCCACCTTCTGCCTTGGTTTGTAGCCTACAGAGCCTGAGGGGGAAATGACAAAGGATCCTACCACCATGTTCTAGTTCTGTGAGGTCGCCAGCTTAGGAGATGTTGTCACATAAAGTGTCTTCTTTAAGCCTTACAACAATGCGGTGTCCACTTTGCAGACAATAATGGGCACAGGAAGTGCAGGAGGCCTGCATGGTGTCTCACAGGAAGTGGAGGGGCTGGCGCCTCCTGTAGTGCCTGTAGGGTCCCCCAGCTGCCCGGCCCCGGTGGACCTGCTGACGAGTCATGTGTGTGCTGATTTGCTTCATTTGAGGCCCACCCTCCACTGGCAGAGCCCCTGGGGCAGCCAGGCCTCCTGGACTCTGCCTACACCGGCCTTCACCTGCCCTTTATGGGCACCGGCTTCCTCTCCTGGCCCTCCTCCCTCAGCGGAACTGTCCAAAGGCCAGCGGCCCAGGTCCTCACACCCTCGCCACCCCAGCTGCTCCCTTAGCTCATCACCGCGGTACAGTGGGGGCCGAATGTATGACAGGTCGGCTGGTCTGGGAAACCTGGGGGAGGTAAGGAGGTTGGGACATGATTATTCAGCATGTAAAATGGCAGGCCTTGACGGGCCAGGTGACTGGCTGTCCACCTTTCCCAGTTGGAAAACACCTCAGTCCTGGGCAAGCTGAGCCCACCACACTCCCTCCTCTCCTTTCCAGTGATTTCGTTCTGCTTAATTTTGCCAGAGTCTGCTGTTCGGTTGCTTCGTCTGTCAACCTACTGCTCTGTCTGCTCACCTCCCAGAAAACATGTCTGTCTGTCTGTCTCCCCAGGCAGGCAGTCCTTCTTTCAGAGACGTCAAACGCCTCTCTGGTGGGTCTGTAAACAGCCTTCTATGCTGTTTACCCTTCACCCTTATGGTGAAGGGGCGTCAGAGCAAAAGCAGCCTCTTGTGTGGGTCTCAGTGGTGGGGGGGGAGGGGGCAAGGACACCCTATTCCTCTCCCGCACTCTGGTCCTAGGGAAGGGTCTCAGGATCCTACCTTCTTGCCCTTCTTCTGCCGTCTTCTGCCCTTCTTCTGAGCCTACCTTCTGCGGTCAGGACCGCAGGGTACACACTCCCCATTTGTAGCGGGTTTGACTGTGTCCCCCAAAAGCTATGACTGAGTCCTAATCCCCTGTACCTGTTAAGGTAACTGTATTTGGAAACAGTGTTTTAGTAGATGTAATTAAGTGAAGGATCTCAGGATGAGGTCATCCTGGACTGAGTGTGGGCCCTGAGTCCAGTGTCGGGGGTCCTTTCTAGAGAAAGGAGAGGGAGACTGGACACACAGATGGACCCAGTGAAGAAGCTGTGTGAAGGGGGAAGGTTGGAGCGATGCTGTCACAAGCCAGCAAAAGGGGCCACCAGAAGCTGGGACACGCAAGGAGGGACTGTCCCTTAGAGCCTTCAGAGGGAACGTGGCCGTGCTGCTCCCTGCACTCCAGACATCCCGCCTCCAGAGCTGTGAGAGGGCGAGTTTGTGTTGTAAGCCACCCGACTGGTGGTAACTTGCTGTGGCAGCCCGGGGACATCAATTCATCTGCTGCTTTCTTGCCTGGCTTGGGCGGTGCATCTTCAACTCCCCGGAGCTTATTTGTTTCGAGATGAGTGTGTTTGGGGAAGGGAGATGAGGACACCCCCGGCAGGACTGAGGACATAAGGTCCCCCTTGTGTGTGTCCCTGCCAACTGACGGGGCTGTTGTGAGTCTCAGGTGAACTAATGGGTGTCGACATCTTTGCTTTTGTGTCTGAGCTCTTTGAGGCTGTCTGGCTCCTCGGCTCCAAATCCCAAGTGCTCGGAAGTGACTGACTGTGTCTGTTGTGGTCAAGCATCAGGTCAGCGAAGGCGGCCTTGTCTCTCTGTGGGCTGCAGAGATGTAGAATGTGGCCCAGGGAGAGGCCGGTGGCATGGACCGGCATGGACCGGCAGAGGGAGGTGAGGCCTTACCTTGTACCTGGTGCCCAGGTTTAAGCGGATGTGCTTCTTTTGGTGGCTGAAGCAGAAGGTGATCTCTTCCTGGCTCCTTACTTGTACCTTGATGTGCCGGTTGATTTTCAAGGAGATGGACTGCACAGGCGGCGCGTGGACATGGAGATTCAGATTCCACCAGTTCCAGGCCTTCTGGTGTTTGTCTTTGGGGAAGTAGTAGCCCAGGTTTTGGCTCAGGCTCAACCTAGACCGAGAAGGGATCAGGTAACCATGGTGCTTGGCCCTTGTGTGCGGGACAGAGCCTCTCCCAGGCGAAGGCAGGCCTGCCCCCTCCTCTGCCTCCTCCCCTTTCTCTTTCCTCCTGGCCTGGGCTCCCATCCCACCCCCCTGCACAACCACCTGGGAAGCTTTTAAGGAATGCAGATCTCCAGGCTCCACCCCGGACTGACAGAATGTGAATCCGGAAGGTGGGGGTCGGCCCTTCCCCAGTGTGAGAGCATCATCCTTCCCATTGGGCTTTGATGGGCTGAGACTCAGGGATAAGATGTGGGGTCTCTTGCATGCCTTATTGGAGAATTTTTTAAAAGTGCTTAATTTTAGGCTAAGTCAAAATGTCGTAAAACTTTTTGCCCGTAATTTTATGTTTGTCTCTGAACGAGCCCCTTATAGTCTCCGAGCCTAAGTTTCTTCATCAAGGAACTAAAGGTAGTTCCTGGATTTCCCTATGGTCTCTTCTGGCCCTAAAAGTAAGTGTCACTGGGGAGAATAGGCCCTACTGAATGTAGCCAGGTAATGATTTGAGATAATTGGCTAAGTTTCTTGCCCCTGCTACTTGGTGCTTCTTGGTATCCAGTAGCTTCTTCTACCTTTCAGGCATTGCTTTTTGCGCAAAAGACCCCAGGGCAAGGCAGATACCTCTGAGAACAAGTTGTCAACTAGGAAATGGTGTTTTAAAAAAACCTGAAGAGGGGTGCCTGGGTGGCTCAGTGGGTTTAGCGTCTGACTCTTGATCTCAGCTCAGGTAATGAGATCGAGCCCCACATCAGGCTCTGCACTGATGGTGTGGAGCCTGCTGGGGATTCTCACTCTCCCTCTCTCTCTCTGACCCTCGCTCTCTGTCTCAAAATAAATAAATACACTTAAAATAAAAAAAAACAAACCTCAAAAAAGCGCCAAAAAATAAAGGAAAAAGCCCAAACACACACACACACACACACACACACACAAAACAACCAAAAGAATATTTAAGAAAATGTTTTTAAAAACCAAGGGCAGGAGAGTGAAAACAAAATTTTGGAAGTAAAAATGAAAGTCTGATTCTGCCTCTCAAGCAGAAAAGCAGTATAAAGTTGATGCAAGACAGTAGGCATTTCCCACTCCGTGACTACTTAGTAGGGAGAGGAAGCGGGAAATCCTGAAAAAACTGGGTACTTACCCTAAAAAGATAGAGAAAGGTTTTGAAGTGGCTGTATTACCTTGATTTGGAGGGATGAAGTTTCCCACTGTCGCCAGAAATGGGAACTTAAGAAGTAAGTTCAGTTACAATGAGATATTTACAAGTTTGGGTTTTGTGTACAGTACAGAGGCCTCCAAAGCACGCAGCACACCCGCCTCTCTGAGGCACCGGAACACAGGGGTTTCCTAAGGCAGTTCTCACCAGCTTTGACTCTCAAGAAGTATGGAGGAGGTGGAGCCCATGGAAGGGGACACCATGAGTCCGTGGCGGGAGGAAGCAATGGCACCAAGGACAGAGTGCCTTCCCTGAGGTTGGGGACCTGCCTCGCTGCCCTCACGATACCCATCTCCCCCTTTGCAACACGTGCGAGTGGGAGAAACAAATTCACAAGCGAATGAGAGAGAGAGAGAGACTTACCCAGTGAGGGAGGACAGATGTGCAGCCTGGGAATCCAGCCTTAAGCACATTGCCGCTCCTTGGGGAGGGGTGTTTGGCTCTCATAACCCGAACTTACCAGATTTCTGTGTCTTCGTCGTAGAAGGTGGCATGGCCAGAGGTGTTGGTGAGGGCCCGGATGCACCCTTCTTTACTGTCTTCTACAATGATGTATGTGAACTTTCCCTGTTCTGTACTGAGGATGAGCATAGCCAGGTTTCCCGATGGATAACTGGAAGACAGTTAAGGCACAAGCACCCCTTGGGGCCCCCAGGAAAGGCAGAGAGGAAAACCCATGCTCCAGCCCCGAACCACAAACTTTTTGGGTGGCACGTGTGTCAATATGAGCGTCTCTGGGCATCAGTGGATACTGTATTTGGCCTGATCCATCAGGAAAGATAATTTGGAAGACAGTCCCACTGGGGTAGAGAATTAACTTTCCATCACCTTGATGCACCTGGGGAGAGAAGACGAGCTTATAAAAAGTGCACAGGGGCTGATTGTCCCAATTCAGAGCCTCGTATTGTCACTAGAGTGCTTGCGATCTGTGTACTCTCTGGACGCCCGCCATCACTACCCCCCATCACTACTGCCATCGTGCTGGCGATTCTGGATAGGAAACCTCGCAGGGCCTCGGTTCACTTGTCTATGTGATGAAGAGGGTGAAATGGATTGCTCTGTGTGTGTGTATGTGTGTGTGTGTGTGTGTGTTTATAATAATAAAACTATTATTTGGTGACTCCAATGGTAATTGGTTGTATTTGTTTCCAGAGGCTGCCATAACAAAGTGACACAAACTGGATACTTTAAAACCCTAGAAATTTATTCTCTTATAGTTGTGGAGGCCGGAAGTCTGAAATCAAGACGTCAGCAGGGCTAGTTCTTTCTGGAGCCTCCAAGGAAGAATTTCTTTCATGCCTCTCTCCTGGGTTTTGGTGATGACCTGTGAGCCCCGTTGCTCTTTGCCTGGGCATGGCTGTAGTGTCCCCTCCAGAATCACATGGCATCCCCTATGTGTCTGTGTCTTCACCCGGCCACATGTGTCTGGTTCTTCTTCTTGAAAGAACACCAGTTGTACTGGATTAGGTCCACTTCAGCATGACCTTGTCTTAACTACATCCATGAAGACCAATTTTTCCGAACGGCATTCCATTCTGAGGCACCAGGGGTTAGGACTTAAACATAGCTTTTTAGGGGGATACAATCCAACCCATAACATTGGTGTTACTCTGTTTTTTTATTTCTTCTTGAGTCAGTTTTAGTGAATATATATTTCTGGAGAATTGTTCATTTTAGGTAAATTTTCAAATTTATTGTCCTATGATTGTCATATAGTGATAAAAAAAAAACCTTGTATTGTCTCTATAGTTATGACATTGTCTTCCTTCTTTATATTCTGTCTATCTTCTCTCTCTCTCTCTCTCTCTCTCTTTTTTCTGGATAAACCTTGCCTGAAGATTTGCCTATTTTACTAGTCAGTCTAGAGAGTGGCTTTTGGTTTCTTTTACTATTTCTTTGTTTTCCATTGTATCAATTTTTAGTCTTACTAGGATCATTTATATACTCCTGTGGGTCTTCTGTATTACTCTATTTTATTTTTCTCATTCCTTGAATTGAATATTGAGCTTGCTGGTTTTCGTCTTTCTTCTTCTTCATGATCCTCCTTCTTAATATAAGCATTTAAAGCTGTAGCACTTCTTTAGAAATACTGTTTTAGCTGTTCCCATGCATACAGGTGTTTACCTTTCATTCCACTCTAAATATTTTCAAATTTCCAATATAATCTCTTCTCTGACATACATGTTATTTTCAAATGTGTTTTCATTTTTTAGTTTTATTTTTTTAGTGTTTTATTTATTTCTGAGAGAGACAGCATGAGCAGGGGAGGGTCAGAGAGAGAGGGAAATATAGAATCCGAAACAGGCTCCAAGTTCTGAGCTAGCTGTCAGCACAGAGCCCGATGCGGGGCTCAAACCCACAAACCGCGAGATCATGACCTGAGCCGAATTCGGATGCTCAAGTGACTGAGCCACCCAGGTACCCCTACAAGTGTGTTTTTAAATCTGCAAATGCAGAAGATGCTTTTGGAGATGTTTATTATTACTAATTAAATTTCCCCGGGGTAAGAGAGCATAGTCTGTGTGATATCAGCTGTTTAGTGTTTGCTGAGACTTGCTTAGTGGCCCAGTGTGTCATCTATTATTGTAGCTATTTCTTTGAGAAGGACATATGTCCTTGTCTTGTGTTCCCATCTGGGCATTAAAACGCAAGCTCCTGGATTATCAGGACGTGCTGTTCTCTGGCCTCTCGCTCTTCCCTCCCCAGCACACTTCTTCCCCCCACCTCCCCCCCCCCCCCCAGCTTCCCACACTGGCTCCTCATCTCACCCTTCTGGTGTTCGGTATCTCTATTTCTGGTGTTGACTATTTTTCTTACTCCCTTACACACTCTGCTCTGTGTTTCTGATGCTTTTTACGATTCATCTACATTTCCCAGATGTTTGCAGCAGGAAGGCTTTTGGGGTCATCTAGTATCCCACCTCACTCTAACTGGAACTCAGATTAGTGGTTCTCTGACTAGCATTATTATTTTTTACATGTTTATTTATTTATTTTTGAGAGAGAGAGTGCACGCATGAGCACACTGGGGATGAGCAGAGAGAGGGAGAGAGAGAATCCCAAGCAGGCCCTGCACTGTCAGCACAGAGCCCGATGAGGGGCTTGAACTCACAAACCATGAGATCATGACCTGAGCCTAAATCAAGAGTTGGATGCTCAAATGACAGAGCCACCCAGGTGCCCCAACTATTATTTTCCACAGTTGAAGACCCGTTTATTTAAGAAAGCTTACAACAGGGGCGCCTGGGTGGCTCAGTCAGTTAAGCGTCCAACTTTGGCTCAGGTCATGATCCCACAGTTCGTGGGTTCGAGCCTCGCATCAGGCTCTGTGCTGACAGCCAGCTCAGAGCCTGGAGCCTTCTTCAGATCCTGTGTCTCCCTCTCTCTCTGCCCCTCCCCCGCTCGCTCTCTGTCTCTCAAAAATAAAATAAAAACATTACAAAAATTTAAAAAAAAAAAAAGAAAGAAAGAAAGCTTACGACAGAATGCCCAAATCTAAGATGATGAAAGAAAAAGATCTAGTTGTCTGAGGAGCTGGGGCAGTGGGCTCTTTAGGGCAGGTCTTGGAATGTCCGGGAACCTGGGCATCAGAGTGAAAACCACTCTGTGAAGTGACAAAGATCTGAAAACTGACCCCATCCCCACACCCAGCACGGTGCTGAGCACAGCACAGTGTGAGCATTCTACAAGTAGGCGCCATCATGATCTCCCTTGAAGATGAGGCTAAATGACTTAGACAAAGTTATCCAGTGAGAGGAGAGCCAGAGTCCAGCTGTGTCCCTGCCTCCAACCAGTAAGCTCCCAGCCGCTGCCCACATTTAGTCTACAAATCACGGTCCTTTTCTTTTTTAACCTAAAAAAGGTGCTTTGTAAAGACATCTGGGGTTGGTTTGTTCCTGATGGTCTGTAAGAAGCTTCTAGATATCGCTCATGGGAGAGGATATTTGTATTTTAGGTCTTATTTTTAAACGCTCCCTGAAAGCCAGACTTTCTTGAGAGGCTTTCTGCCTGTCAAATTCAATTGTCATGTAATGATATTTTCCTAGTGATGAAGACCCCACGGGCAAAGCACAATCTCTGACACAGAGGAGGAATTGTCACATTTTCTCTCACTGAGAGTTATCTAATAAGTGGCTTATCTAAAAGCCTAAATCTCATCACCATTTGCTTGGGGACAGGGTATGAGACTAGGAGCTCAGTTCTACTAGAAAGGAAACTGCCTCACAAGCAGGGCCCTGTGCTATGAGAGAATGGCCATCTGGTCCCTGAGCCGTCTCTCTGTGGCCGTCTGTCCTTGAGCTGTCTCCCTGTGGCTGTCCATCCCTGAGCTCTCCCTTCGGCCGTCTGTCCCTGAGCTGTCGCTGTGGCCATCCATCCTCAAGGTGTCCCTGTCGCCATCCATCCTTGAGCTGTCCCTGTGGCCGTCTGTCCCTGAGCTCTCCCTGCCTGCTGTGGAGTGGCTGGCTCCACGCTCTCCTGCCTGCACGCCTGCACACACTTACAAACAGTGCTACCTGACTCAGCAAGCTACCTGGAATTGATTGCTCATTTGTAAAAACAAAAACAGCCGAATGCTCCACTCCTCATGGCCCTTTTGGATGGCCCCATGTGTGGGGTGGATTAGGAAGGGACCTCTGCTTTGATCACTTAGTGAGAAACTTCCCCTTGGCTGCAAGGACATTTAAGATTGGTTGGGGGACAGATGCTGCCAGAGCAAAACTCTGAGGCAGGTCAGGGGAGGGATTATGGGGAACATGGAGTTCACCAGCCCAGCTGGAGTAAGAAGCCAAGGAAGGTTTCACTGATATATTGGAGGTGAGGCAGCTGAAGCCTTATGAGGGCTTCCAACACCCTTACCATTCATTGTTGGGTACAATCTGGAGAGTCCCCTGGCTTTCCCTCCATTTCTCCATCTGCAGGAGTTCTGGCCGGTCCACTGACTCCCTTCTTCATGCAGGCCCAAGAGATGAAGGGAGACTGAACTTTCCATTCCTTCTCTGGAGGCTGGAAGAGTCATACCTTGGTTGACAGTATTGGTTTCCAGTTCTTTCCTACTTTTGCCACAAGGTGAAGCAACCCTCGTCACTTTTTTTTTTAATTTTTTTTTTTAAAGTTTTATTTATTTAAGATGTTTGGATTCTCATCCCCTTAATGTAAACTGTTTTCATTTTCCTTTGGACACACAGCAGAAATACATTTCCCAGTTCTCTTGCATCTAGGTGGGGTCATGTGACTTGTTTGGCTGGTAGAATTTAAGCCTAGACCTTGACTTCACTCCTGTCCATGCAACAGGATGCAAAGGACTTCAAGATGGCAGAGACCCACCACAAAGGAGCCCTGATCCCCAAGAGCCAGACTTGAGGAGAGCCCCTCAAGAGAGCTATGAGACTTTAATCATATATGGCATGAGCAAGAAATATGTATCTGGTTATTAAGCCTGTTAGCTTGGGGAGCTGTTTGTTTCAGCAAGTAATGAGCGTTGTCCTGGCTAATATAGCCTCTAGGTCCATGTGACAGTATTTACATTTTTTTGGGTCTCACTTTCTTCAACTGTACAGTAATGATAGTTAATACCATACATATCCCATGAGATTGTTGAGAAAAGCTAAGTTTACATTACACATAGAAGTGTTTAATAACCTGCATAGTGTTACACAAATGTTAGGTTCGATTAGGCTTGAGTTCTACAATTTAGTAAGTAGTAACATAGGATTTACTCAGTTGCTCAGGCCAGAATTAGATATATCCTTTTATCTTCTCTTTCTCTCACATCCTACTTCCAATTTAACAGGAAGCCTTTTTGATTCTTTCTTCAAAAATTACCCCAAATCGTACTGCTTTCCAACACCTCTACTGCCATTACTCTAATTGAGATGCCCGTCATCTTTCACCTGAATTAATGCCCTGGCTCTCGGCTGAACTTTCTGCCTCTACTCTTGCCTTGTTAAATCTCTTCTCCATACACAGCCAGAAAGATTCTTCTAGAGCATAAATCAGATGATGTTCCTTCCCTGCTCCAGATCCTCTCATGACTTTATATCTTCCTTGGGATAAAATCTGAAGTCTTACTCTGACCCACAAGGCTCTGTCTGAACAGGGCATCTGAGCACATTCACCAGTCTTCTCACTTTCCCACAGCTGTCCTTGAGGAAAGGCCTCAGGGCCTTGGCAACTCTTTGCTCTGCCCCTCATTTCAGGCATGCGTAGACTCACATGGCACTTCCCCAGCTGCCTTATACTTTGCAGACCAACTCTCCTCTCAGGTCAGGAACTCCTGAGCCCCTTATGCTGCTTTGCCCATGGTTCCTGACAATAGCTGACACAGCACTGAACAGGGCTGTACACACTGGCTGTTCCTCAAGTGGAACATAAGTTCTATGGGCACAAGAGCTTTGTTTCGTTCACCCTTATGTCTCCAGCACCTAGAAGAGGCTCTGGGGCATAGTAGATTCTCACTTTATATATTCAGAAGGTGTAAAGTCCATCACATCTTCCTAATCCCCACTTCAGCGCCTCTTTTTTTGAGCTTCAGACCTGATAGCTCACTCTGAGTGACTCCAATATTTTGAGATGTTTTCACTTATGTATAGTATCCGTATAGTATAATATACACTTTTATAAATGTACCATTGTTTTTTTAATAGGCTTCATTTTTAGAACAGGTCACAGCAAAATTGAGCAGAAAGCACAGAGATTCTCATACATCTCTTGTCCCTACACACATGCACAGCCTCCCCCACTACCTACACCCTGCACTCAGCATCCATTATAGTCAATAAACCTGCATCAGCACAGCACTATTGTTAAGGTCCCCTACTATTATTATGTTATTATCAATGAGTTTCTTTATGTTTGGTATTAATTGATTTATATATTTGGATGTTCTAAGTTGGGGACATAAGTATTTATAATTGTTAGATCTTCTTGATGGATAGACCCCTTAATTATGATATAATGCCCTTCTTTGTGTCTTGTTACAGTCTTTGTTTTAAAATCTAGTTTATCTGATATTTATTCTGGCTTTCTTTTGATGTACATTAGCATGATAGATCTTTCTGCATCCACTCACTTTCAATCTAAAGGTGTCTTTAGGGGGCGCCTGGGTGGCTTAGTCGGTGAAGCGTCCGGCTTTCGCTTAGGTCATGATCTCACGGTTCATGGGTTCGAGCCCCGCGTTGGGCTCTGTGCTGACTGCCAGCTCATAGCCTGGAGCCTTTTTCAGAGTCTGTGTCTCCCTCTCTCTCTGACCCTCCCCTGCTCACGCTGTCTCTCTCTCTCTCCTAGAAATAAATAAAAATATTAAAAAAAATAATAATAAAGGTGTCTTTAGGTCTAAAATGAGTCTCTTGTAGGCAGTGTATAAATTTTTAAAAAATCCATTCTGATACCCTGCGTCTTTTGATTGGAGCATTTAGTCCATTTACATTCAGAGTGATTATTGAAAGATATAAATTTAGTGTCATTGTGTTATCTATAAAGCTGGTATTTCTGGTGATGTTCTCTGTTGCTTTGTAGTCTTTGTTGCTTTGGTCTTTTCCCCCTCACTCAGAGAGTCTCCTTTAATATTTCTTGCAGACTCCTTTAGTTTTTGTTTGACTGGGAAACTCTATCTTTCTATCTTTGCTGGATAAAGTATTCTTGGCTGCATATTTTTCCCATTTAGCACATTGCCATTCCCTTCTGGCCTGCCAAGTTTCTGTGGACAGATCTGCTGTGAACCTGATCCGCCTTCCCTTCTAGGCTAAGGACTTTTTTCTCGTGCTGCTTTCAGGATTCTTTCCTTGTCTGTGTATTTTGTGAACTTGACTGTGATATGTCTAGGTAATGACTGGTTTTTGTGTAATTTAATTTGCATTCTCTGTGCTTCTTGGATAATAATGTCTGTGTTCTTTCCTAGATTAGGGAGTTTTCAGCTATAATTTGCTCAAATAAACCTTCTGCCCCCTTTTCTTGCTCTTCATCTTATGGGACTCCTATGATACAAATGTTATTACATTTTCAAAATTTGCTGAGTTCCCTAAGTCTACCTTCATGATACAATATCTTTCTTTCCCTCTTCTTTTCAGCTTCATTATTTTCTATAATTTTATCTTCTATATCACTGATTAATTTCTCTGCTTTTTCCATCCTCGCTGTTATGGCATCCATTCAGGTTTGCACCTTGGGTGTAGCATTTTTAATTTTTGCCGGACTAGATTTTAGTTCTTTTATCTCTGGAATAAGGGATTCTCTAGTGTTGTCTATGCTTTTTAAAATATTTTTCAAGCCCAGCTAGTACCCTCATAATTGTTGTTTTAAATTCTAATTCAGACATCTTATATCTGTATTGATTAAATCCCTGGTTTCTACTTTCTGTTCTTTCTTTTGGGGTGAATTCCTCCATCTTGTCATTTTGTCCAGAAAAAAAAAAAATCTAGATCCTAGCTGTGTTTTGGTCTGCTTGTTAAAAGAAGCTAGATCCAAAAAATATATATATAATAAAAATTAAATAATTAAAAATTAAACATAAAAAAAACCAAAAAGGAAGCTAGATTCTATTTCCCCTAGAGCTGAAGCTTTGCAGCACTCTATGATCAATAGACTTAGTGCATATGAATGGTTTGTGCTGGTCTTCTGGGGGAGGAGCCTGTTGCACTGATTCTCAGGTGGCCTTGCCCTAGTGGAGATGCATCTGCAGAGCGCAAGAGCGCAAGGGGGTGGGGCTTTGTATAGTGGCCCTGGGCGCCTCTTGACCATGCTGTTTAGCTCACTGAGGTTGGTCACTGCTGGTACGCAAGGAATGACAATGACTTTGCCCCACTCTCTTATCTCTGGATCAAGGAGCTTGTGCTTGCCACTCCTCAGGAAGCCCTCACAGATGGGCAAACAATCACCCCTTCTGTGTCCCTGACTTCTGCACCCTGTGTGTGTTTGAGCTGTCCACCTGCCGGGTGACACAGCCTTCCTGAGTTTTATCTCAGGCACAGCTATATTTCAAAACTAACCTTCAGAGACCCCCATGGTGTGGCCCAGCACTGATCCTCTCGGGGAGAGTCTCACTGCACTGTGGCTGGTGCTGGCTTGTCCCAGAAAATGGTTGCATGACTGTGCAGAGGCTTGGAGTCTATGGTAAATCGCAGCAGAAAGCTGGCACCAAGGTTACTGCCCTCTGCGGGCATCTTTGCTCCAATGCTGGTGAATAGGGCAGCTTGATGGTGCCCACCAGGTCTTTTGCCCGTGGAAAGGCCAAATCACCTCTACCAAATGCACTCCCAACAAGGGAACCACTTCTTCCCGGGAAGCCCAGGGGATACTCAGACTGTGCTGCCCACTCTCACTGCAGCACCGCCAGGTGCCACCCTGGTAAGCCCGCTGACCTCTGAAACTTCAGACTCAGTCTCTGCACTCTGCTGTTTATAAGAACTTGCAGTATTTAAGCCCTCTCCTTTTCCCCAGTCAATAGTTTTGGGAAAGAGTTTTTTCTGTGAAGTCCCCTGTGTGTGTTTTCACTCTTTTTTTCACCCTTTCTCTCTTTCTCTTCCCTCTCTCACCTCTGCAGCATCTATGGCTCTTTTCTCCCCCGAATCAACTCTCTGCAATTCCTACCTTCCATAAGGTGGCTGCTTTTTTTCCACCTGTAGACATGCAGCTGTGTTCTCTGAGTTCTCAGGTCAATTTCTTGGGAGTTCAGAATGATTTGCTATTTGTCTAGCTGTGTTTGAGGTAGGAGCAAGCCTAGGGTAACCCTACTCCTCAACCCTCTTAACCAGTCATTCTCCATGGTTGATTTTTGACAGACATTTTAAATTTATTAGGGGATGGACTATATATTATAATATATACTTCCCTTTTCCTCCTTCCAATCCTATCCCGTTGCCTAAGACAGGGCCTGCTGGGAGAAGAGTCTCAGTGAACCCTAGTAAAAGTCTCAGTTAATCTACCCATAACCCCCAGGCTCAGGCATGCCTCTGCATTTCTATTCACACCGTATATTAGTTCTGACAACTCCCTGATGGGGTGTGTGTGTCTCATCCCCCCAAACCCTGCACAAAGTAACAATACCCATGCACTGCCATACTTACCTCAATCTTGTTCTGTATCCATTCTGTATCTACTTCTAATTTCTTCTTACGTTGAACCACACGACGAGTTTTTTTGGCTTCTGTCACAGGCTCCTTATCTTCTGGTTGTGATTGCCATAATTGAAATGTGAAAGTTGATGTGTCTGCAGTTTTGGTAGTGAGTAAATCTGGTAGAAAAGAGAAAGAAAGTTTAGATCTGTCTTTCTCAGAGAGTTTGAGGGCATATTCTCCCCAAATACCAAAAGCTGCCGGTAGTAGAAAGAGCAGCTCTTGGAGAGAAGTGTGGGGGCTGAAATTCCAGAGAAACTGAGTGTCTCAGTTTTTGCATTCATCCACTCAAAATACATTTATCAAATGCTTACAGTGTGCCAGCCCAGGGCTAGATGCAATACCACGGTGAAGACCACCCAGTCCAGACTTTGGGGAGTGAAGGTGACACACTAACAAGGGTGGCTGCTAATTCTGGTAATTTAAAAAGTAGGCGAAAGTGGGGAGTCATTAAAAAAAAAAGGAAACATACTTCAAACATGTTATTTCAACTTAAAACATAAATGCGTATTATCATGCCATTTTATTATTATTTTTTAAAGTTTATTTACTCAGAGAGTGTGAGCACATGTGAGTGGGGGAGGGGCAGAGAGAGAGAGGGAGAGAGAGAATCCCAAGCAGGCTCCACACTGTCAGCATAGAGCCCAATGTGGAGCCAAATCTCAGGAAACGTGACGTCATGACCTGAGCTGAAATTAAGAGTTGGACATGTTGCCTGTATGCCATTGTAAAATGCAGGGCAAGATCTTTCCTTTGTGGGTGGCCTGATGATGGGCTCTGTGATCCCTTTTGTTCAAAGCACATTCATAATTTATTATCTGTAATTTTCAGTTTCGGTAGTTTCTAAATAGTCTGCGGAATCACACACTTAAAAAATTCTTCATATTCCTCAACATTTAACGTATGTTCTGTCCATGTGTAATTTAACGTAGTTGTTTTATTTTGTTTTTTAATGTTTTATTTATTTTTGAGAATGAGAGAGAAGCAGAGAGAGAGGGAAACACAGAATCCGAAGCAGGCTCCAGGCTCTGAGCTGTCAGCACAGAGCCCCACGTAGGGCTTGAACTCATGAACCATGAGATCATGACCTTAGCCGAAGTCAGACACTCAACCAACTTGAGCCACCTAGGTACCCCTAAAGTAGTTTTTTTAAAAGCTATTTTCTTCTTGGGTCTTTTTAAAGCATTCAACTTAGTTTTCACAGCAACAAGTTTCTTTTTATCACTTTTTTTTTTGTTTTACACGAGTTGAATTTTGGAACTAAATTAGTAGGGCAGCTGAGTCTCGGCGGGCATCAGACAAGCAGTGGGGGCAGCAGGAGAATCTGGGGCTGTGGCACATCTGAAATGAAAGAGGTCACTGATTAGAGCTCAGGGAGGAAGCTTTTCCTCAGGAACATGAGGAGACAGAGGTGGCAGGGCAGGGTCATTTGGAAACCTGTGTAAGAAGTTTGGAAGCAGATCTCAGTCTTGTGAGCAGCACCTTCCTTCTCCGGAGCCTGCTTACAAATGATAACGACTTGTCAGAGGGAAACAGCTGAATTAGCCTGGCCACTGTTCCTGAGTGTCTCTTAGAAATTAATAGAAAACATTTCTAAAATGGCAATGACAAAGAGGACATTTATATGCTCATTTTTTCCCCCATCAGAATGCTAAAATCATGGACACTTTGGTTTGTGCTATACATCCGGCTCTACCCTCATTAGGGGGAGGCTTTCGGCTGTCTTTCTGAGTCTTAGTTCCCTTAAAATGTTAGAATAATGATGCCTAGAGAGATCTACTGAGTTTCAGTAAAACTTTGGTTTGTGAGTCTAGTTCGTTTTCAGAAGCATGCTTGTAATCTAAAGCAATCGTGTGTGAAAGTGAATTTCAAGAAACATTGGTTCAGTTGTGATCATGTGACAGTCGGTACCACGTACTACTTATACTGCAAGACATCGCTCCTTTATCAAGTGAAAATGTATTAGAAATGTTTGCTCGTCTTGCAGAACACTCGCAGAACAAGTTATTCGCAATGCAGAGTTTTACTGTGCTGTGAAATCATGTCTGCACAGTGCTTGCCACCTACTAGAGGGTCCATGTATCAGTGGCCTTCACTCAGGAAGCTTTGAATTTTGATGGCTCATGATTCAATGTCCTTCCATCTCTTTTCCCAGACTAGATGGTTCTGAACAGAAAAGGCTACCAAATTTGAGAGGCCCCATGCAAAATGAAAATGCAGAGGTCCTTGTTCTAAAATTATTAAGAATTTTAAGAAAGTGAGAACAGGGCATTAAACCAAGCACAGCGCCTTTCAAAGTATTGAGCCCTGGGTGACTTATCATAGGTCCCACATTCATGAAGCCAGTCTGGGCTTGGGAATCAGAGTGTGCAAACAGGATGGTGTGTGTGTAGAATACGGAATGGTCTGCATCCTAGAAGTGAGTTTGGATCTCAAAAGAGGCTGGCAGATTTCTTTGGGACTGGCTACAACCAGAACATGGAGAGGATGCCTTTTATCTATTAGAAGTGTTGCTTTTTTGTATAAAAAGCTCAAACCTTCTAGACTTCAATTACCCAGAGGAGCGGGGAGTGGGCAGGGGGAGTGGCAAAGCACTATGGGAATCCAGCCATATTAAATCTTATTTATTCTCTAATTGGAAGTTCTATCCTGGATGTGTGGCAGTAGAATATCCAGATAGTCCTTAATCGCCCAAAAGGGGCAAAAAAATCATGCATCCTACATGATTTAAAACATGCATGGCAACATCCATCAAAAACAACAAAAACACTTACTGAGTGCCTACTGTGTGCCTTACTAAGGTGCCAAGTAAGAAAAGACATAGGCATCTACAACCCAGAGGGAACAGAAATGTGAGTAGATAAGTATAGCATAATAAGTGGAATAGCTGTTTATTGTGTTTTCAGCTGCTGAGCTTTTTTTTTTATTTTTATTTTTTAAATTTATTTCTAGGAGAGAGAGAGAGAGAGACAGCGTGAGCAGGGGAAGGTCAGAGAGAGAGGGAGTCACAGACTGAAGCAGGCTCCAGGCTCTGAGCTGGCAGTCAGCACAGATCCCAACGTGGGGCTGGGACCCACGAACCGCGAGATCATGACCTAAGCGAAAGTTGGACGCTTAACTGACTAAGCCACCCAGGCGCCCCTCAGCTGCTGAGCTTCTGACCCCCCTCCTTGATTTGGGGGCACCCCATTGTGTGCTTCTTGGTGGGATGCAGGGCATCCCCACCCTGAAAACCAAAGGTAGTAATTCCTTCTTCTTGTCTCCTGACTCCAGTGAGGACACAAGACCGAGGCTTAGAAGGACCCCACTTTTTCTTCCCCAGAAACACTAGCCTTTTGTTGTTCATTGAACATGAGAAGGGGTGAGCTCCAGGTTTGGCCTTGGAGGTCTTGGGCAGAACGTGGCTGTGCCCACACTATGGCTGGGTTACCTCAGGTGAGTCCTTTAGCCTTCCTGAACCTTAGCTTCTATATCCTGCTTTGCGCAGTTATGAAGGTTCATTTGAAACAGAGTGTGTGAAAATACCTAGTCCAGAGAAGTTACTCCCTAAGAGTTAGATCAGGGGCAGAAATTGGTGTTGCGGGGGGCTGGAACATGGTCTTGGGATAGAGCCTGAGTCTGTGCCCTGGCTCAGGGAGAAAAAGTACCAGGACTGGTTAGCTTTGCCTGCCATGGTTACCATTGACATTTCTGGGTTAGTTGGATCTAGTAATCCGAAAGATATCCCATGTGGTGGCTTCGAGTCTTTGAATGAAGCAGCCTCATGGTTTATGCTCTTGGCCCAAGTTTTCCATTATTAGCCTTTTTTTCCCGAAGAGTTTGTTTATTTGAGAGAAAGAGAAAGAGCAGGGGAGGGGCAGGGGGGGGGTGGAGAAAGAAAATCTTAAGCAGACTCCATGCTCAGCGTGAAGCCTGAAGTGGGTCTCAATCTCATGATCCTGAGATCATGACCTGAACCAAAATCGAGAGTCAGACGCTTAACCAACTGAGCCACCCAGACGCCCCTGCACGATTAGACTTAAAAACACTGGCAACCACCATGACTGGAAAATATTAACAGCTGGACCTCAGATGCCTTCAGTATCTGGTAAACCTTGCGTTAATGCTCTAAGTAGCCCCTCAAATCTAGGTTAGATTCCTTCGTATGGGGCTCCATGGCCTCCTCTTCCTACCATAGCACTTAACCATTCCATACGCGAATCCCTGGCTTTCTTTTCTGTCCTTACCCACACCCCGCAACCCCCAAAAGGATAAGGGGTCCCAGACTGTATCCATCTTGCTTGGTATTTTATCCCGGGCAGCTAGGACCTTGCTAGTCTAGTAGGTACTCCCGTTAGGCAATGAGCCTTTCTGCCCCCTTTAGGGCACATGGCAGAAGCTAAGAGGTCATATCACAGGATGGAAAAAAGGGAGAGTGGTCCTTACTTTCACGTTTCTTCAAAATCCAGAGGATTGTTTGCTTGTATTTTCCAAAATTTTTCTTCAACCTAAAGAGAACGTGAATTATCTTGGATTGATGTTTACGTGGCATGCTTCCCAGTGTAGACAGTGCTAGAGCCTGCTAAGTGTTTCTATTGTTGAAAACCCGGGCCCATGCCTCTGCTTTCAGGGGCTCTTTTTCTTCCAGGCAGTACTCAGGAATAAAGGGACAGTACATGGTGGTGACTCAGTGTTTCCCTCCTGGACTGTAGGCTGACACCCAAATCCTTCTAAATAAATTCAACAAGGGTCATATTGGGAACTAGCTGGAAGGTCCAAGTGTGAGACTAGCTCTATGAGTTAAGCTTGTGCTGCCTGATTTTTTATATGGCTTGTACGTATCCCAGTGAAGGTTATGTTTGGAAATAGCTGGGAAAAACAGCACCATCTGTGAACTAGACAGAGTCACTTGAAAGCCCTTAGTGTTTAGTGGGAAAATTTCAAATACTCTCGTTCAAAATGACTTATCATGAAAGCCACACCGAGGTACTGCTCTTCAAAATAATCAAGCCCTTACCCCTCTCTCATGTGAATAGACAAAGCAACTCATCTTGGGATTTCAATGGCTTCGAAATAAGGGTGGTCTCCAGGGACAGCTGTGTTTCTAGGTTCTCAGATCAGAGCCCCTTTGAAAGGGAATGTACTGAAAGGAGTGAGCTTCCCAGGATTAATTAGATCTGAGAAGAAGGCCTTTGACATGATGGATTTTAAGTTCCCAGTTCAGATTCCTTAAGGAGAGTGCAATCATTAATCCTGAGAAACCCCAGGAAGCCAATACCTTTTGCTGGAAAGGGCTGTGCTGTTTTGCCTGGCAGAGAGCAGCTTTACTGTTTGTACTTTAGAAGTAATGGTGGAACTTGAGAATGAGCTCTTTGTGGCCCATTTGTATTGAATGATATTTGTTTCATCTGCAAGCACTTTGAATGGAATTGAAGCGGTTACCTAGCCTGCCATCATCTGTGAGGGGATAAGGACCAAACTGGAGATGGGGGTAAGCCTGACCTGCAGGGCCAGAGCAGGATGCCAAATGTACTCGAGGGTTCAGTTCCGGAGAGGGGATCCAGCCAGGGGCACCCAAGGCCATTTTGGAAAAGTTCCTCCCTTGGCACTTGGCCCACCTTTGCCTACCTATTCTTGCCAGCTGGCTCCTTAATGGCAGAGGCTCTGAGATAACACGCTATTCTATAGATCAGCACCCAGGAGACTGGCACATAGTAGGTGCTCAGGAAATCTGCTGAGTGCAATGGGATTAGAACGAACCTTGGTTATAGGCTTAAACGGGATGGAATAGGTGGAGAAGCATCATGTACGGGGCTCGATAACTTACAGGAAAGTTACTTTGCATTTGTTTTTGTAGCTGTGCAGGGATCTGAAAGCTTGGATAATCTTGGTGTTTTGCCCTGTGGATTTTGCCTTCTCCTTTCCTAGAGAAGTCTCGGGGGTCTGTGGCCCCAGGACTCTACTGAGCCCAAAGCAGAAGTTGCTGGCAGTCAGCCTCTCTTCTTGGTTTTTGTGAAAGTGTCAACTCATCAAGGAGGTTATACAGGGCACCCTGTGCCCTCACAGCTTGTTCCTCCGTGTCACTGCCAGCGTCTGCCATAGACTTGTAGGAGACCTGAGCATGCACCTTGCTCACTAAGGTTTCTGATAGTTGGATAAATTAAAATCCAGTTTCCACCTCCATTCTGGAGGTACAAATGGAGTTTGGGGACATTTTGTGACCTGGGACCATGACAACTAGAAAGATTTTGTGCCAGCAACAGTCTGCAATAGCCTTATCATTCCCCATTCCAAATGGGGACTCTGGCCATGACTCGCAGGTCAGTGCAGCTCATGGCTTTCCCACTCCAGGGAGCATGGCAAAGCATCAGCTAGCCTGTGACGGAGCTGGGGAATTTCTCAGCAGATGCCCAAGATCTGGATTCCCCGTTGTCCCCTCTCTTAAAAGAAAGGCCCGGGCTCTGTCCCCAGACTTTTGTATAAGTTCATGGTAGCTCCAAAACTTGTCCTGCCTCGTATCTCCGACCGCTGTCACTGCCAGCCTTTGATCCTCTCCTGTACCTCCCGTGCTTGTAGATTTCCTTGGCAACCAGATCATTCTGTCCATCTTCCCCCTGAGCTGCTCTTGCTTCTGGGCTTGCTCTTTGGCTCAGGGGACCGGCCTGGCCCTGGCCTTGCTCTTTGCTCTGGTGGCCCAGTTTACACTCTCCCTGCTACCACCTCTGGCCTACTTGAACCCACTGACCAATAGCTTGATCTCTCCAGTCACTTACAGAATTCTCAGTTTCCTCCTGGTTTCACTCTCCAGAATCCCAGTCACGGGGACGTCAATATCCTCTTCCAGTTGTTGGCGAGCAGCCATTTCTTTAAGCATGGTGCTAAACACCACCTGATAGGAGCTGTTGACAGCCTACAAGAGGAACACAGAATGAAACACCTATAAAAGGAGTATTAGTGGCTTACGATAATTAAGCACTTTTCGGACTCCCAAAGGTGCTAGTGAAATTTCAATATGCTATCAGGAAGACACGAACCATGGGAACCGTAGGGTGGCCAGCAAGATTTGTTTTAAAGAATATTTCCATTATTCTCACACTCCTCACTCCCCAATTTGCTCAAAAAAAAAAATATATATATATATTAACAGAAGCATGACAAGAAATCTTTTCTGAGCATGAAATTATCTTTTTCCAAATGTGGAGATGGTTATAGAGCATAAAAATGCTTCCGTGATTTAAGAGCATGACAGGCTTTTCGAGATGCAGGCCAAGTTCCGAGCGGTTGCTTCACTATGAAGGATGAGAGTTTTCAGGAAAGCAGGGTAGCACCTAGCAGCTTATAGTAGCAGCCAATTCTGTGTCCAGAGTAATGATGTTGCAAGCTGCCTTTTTATTTTGTAAATTTTATCAGTCCCAAATCTGGGATTCTAACACCCATGAAGGTGTCATGTCGCCCTGCTCATGTGCAGGTTGAGGTTGTCACCATGGCTGTTCAACATCTGATAATGTATTGTGTGTCATTAACGTATTAGTCTCCTCTGGTAAGAGGGAGACCAATATATCCAAAGTTGTGCATGAGCCGGGACAAATTTAAGAATGTAGCTTGTGGTTGGACAGATTTTCCAGGCTGGGGGGCAGGCTGGGCTGCCTCAGGTCCAGCTTGCCTGATTCTCAGCCTCTGCAGCTCCTCTCCCATTGGGGATGTTAAGTCAACTAACCAAGCAGGCTGTTACACTGAGGTAGGTGGCTCTAATGTCACGGGGCCTGGTAAGCAAACCAAAATCTGGGCCTATAAAATGCCTCAACGTTATGAACCGAAATCTAAGGGCAACCAATCACAAGCGGCCAAACAGGCTTTAAGTGATGGTCACTCGACACTTCGGTTGTGCTGCTTCTGCCTTGTCTTTATAAAAGCCTCTCCTCAGCTCCTGCTAGCGGAGCACTCCTAACCACTTCCGGTTTGGTGATGCACAGTCTGAATCCATATATGCTCAAATAGACTGTTAAAATGTTTTAGATGCCTCAGTTTATCCCTTAACACTGACCTCTGCTTCTGAGCAGGTTGAGGTTAAGGCCCGTGGCACCAATATGTCTGCCTCTCAGTTCCTCATTGTTGACAGTTCTTCCCTAGGGATGGAGTGACTTCCTATTTGCCTGGGCCAGTGATCTCTCACCATCGTCTTTGGATTTTTGTTCACCAGAAACTACGGTGCCCGCTGTGGTCCCCCAGACAGCAGACCCACTGGGTGGGCCTCGTTGAAGTTCTTGTCCCATCCAGGCTGTGCCTCCCTACTCGAGTTAGCCAGCACATGCGACTGATGTCCTAGAGGTCTGTCCCATTTGCTTCCCTGCCTGTAGCGTAGAGCTGTCCTCCTCACCGTGGTAGGTGCATCGCATACGCCGGCGATGAGCTCTCCATGCCCGGAGACTTCTCCCTGGCGAATCTGTGGTTACTGCAACCAAAACCATTTGCACAGCGAGGGTTGTGGGGCACGGGCATGCCACAGAACGAAAACTAGCATGGGCAGTGCATAGAAGCAGTAAAGGAGTCCAACTGTCAGCATAGCCAAAGTATGAGAGCCCCTGTCCAAACAGAAGGTCTTAGCGCCCTCTTTTTCGTTTGTGTCCCGGTGGTTTCTGGTATTCCCTCCAACGGGGCCTCAGAAGTCCACGCCAGCAAGTCTTTCAGCTGCAGGTAGTGTGTGGCATTTACTCTGTTCTTTCTGTCGCGCTCTGGCCCCGCCTGTCCACCTCTGCCTCCAATGACATGGCTTCCAGGCCGTACCGCTGCCTCCGGTGAGAAGGCCAGTGTCTGGGGCTGGGCGGCTGGGGGCTGGTGGGGCGCACCTGTCACACGGAGCCTCCCGGGAGGCGTCTGCTCCCCGCCTCTCACTGGCGCTCCGCAGTACTGTCCAGCGCAGCTGGCAGGCGTGCCGATGGGCTCTGAATAATTTAAGTTTCTAATTAAAACAATTCCTTTAGATTCCAACTCTTGCTGAAAAATCTTTCTAACATGCCTACGTTTCCCTTCCTGTCTTAGTAAATAAGATCAGGTGAATGTGCATTCCAGTCATTGTTTTCCCTCCCTTTAATGTGGCATTTCAGCATTTGAAAGGCAATTCTTTTTTTTTTTTTTTTTAATGTTTTATTTATTTCTAGGAGAGAGAGAGAGAGAGACAGCGCGAGCAGGGGAGGGTCAGAGAGGGAGTCACAGACTGAAACAGGCTCCAGGCTCTGAGCTGGCAGCCAGCACAGAGCCGGACGCGGGGCCTGAACCCACGAACCGCGAGATCATGACCTAAGCGAAAGTCGGACGCTTAACCGACTAAGCCACCCAGGTGCCCCGAAAGGCAATTCTTATTAATATAATGTATAAAGCAGCAAGTGTGGACAGCAAGATATTTAGGGCTCAGGGTAAACTAAGAGCAGAAGATTTCCCAATTAAAACATTAAGAAAAAAAAAACCCAAATACCTAATTTTTTTTTTTACCTCTTCTATGATAAATTTAGAAGAATATATCTGCTTAATTTTGAATTCCAGGGACACAAGATTTCACTCTTGTGGTTGTAGTTAGCAGCTACAATCCTGAGAAAGTTTCTTCGCCATAATGGAAACGGTGCATCATAATGTTTCCGCCTGAATCAGCATGTAAGTCTTAGAAGCAAGTAGACACAGGAAATTAGAGCCACCAGGCTGCACCAGCAGGTAAAATATTCATGCAGTAAAGACGATATAGCATGCTGTAGATATAAGGCTTATTCAGATGATTGCGACTTCCCATCTTCTCTCCGGTTATCGGGTCCAGCTGGGGAAAGGGCGTCCGTGGACTCTCGGGGCTGGTTCTGTGTCCCTCTGAGAGGACGTGGGCAAGGGTATCTGCTGCTAGCTGCTGTGGTGTTAGCCTGCATGGCCGAGGCTGTGGTCTCCACCCCTGCCAGGCTGCGCCCTTCCCGGTCCTTTGGTAACAGACAGCAGGCGTGCTTGAAGCGGTTTCTGAGCTGCTGTGTTTCGGCACTTAATCGCCAGGGATGTACGAAGTGAAAAGAGAACTCAGGAAACTCCCCACCATGTCATCCCTTGGGTCCTCAGGTTACTAGCCAATCTGATTTCTCTCCATCCTTCAATTTTTTTAATGTTTATTTTATTTTTGAGAGAGAGAGAGAGACAGAGTGTGAGCAGGAGAAGGGCAGAGAGTGAGGCAAAGCAGAATGCAGAGCAGGCTCCAGGCTCTGAGCTGTCAGCACAGAGCCCAACGTAGGGCTCGAAACCACAAATCATGAGATCATAACCTGAGCCAAAGTCAGGCACTTAACCAACTGGGGCACCCAGGCATCCCCTCTCCTTCAGAGGCTTCCTTTTTTTTAAAATTTATTTTTTAATTTACATTCAGGTTAGTTAGCATACAGTGCAACAGTGACTTCCAGAGTAGATTCCTTAATGCTCCACACCTATTTAGCCCATCCCCCTCCCACAGCCCCTCCGGCGACCCTCTGTTTTCTACATGTACCAGTCCTTCAGAGGCTTCTTCTATTTGTTTTAAATATAATGTCTAGGGTTGTAAGCTGTCAAAAGTGGGGGAAAAATACAACTAGTCCAACTTTCTAGAATTTAACTTCATTTTTATTGAGGTTTTGACGAAGACTGATTTGCCTTGACCTCTAGATGAATGAAATGTTTTGTTTTGGGCTTTGCCACCTTTAAAAGGGTTCCAGAATGTGTTTATATTATGAGCAGGGCTCTGAAAGTAGGGCTGTGTAGGGCTGCATGTGCCTTTATTCTGACCCGCTTTGATTTAATGTGTGACATTTAAACTTTGGCCTGTTTTAAGAAAAGCTCCTGTGGGCTGTCTTAACAGTGGAGTGAAGCAATGAGTCCCAGCACTTACGACGTAGTTCCCAGCTGACCTGGGGGCACACTGCTCCAACTTTGGGAGGAAGGGGGTCTCGAGTTTTTATCTGACTTACCTTGTTACAGTCCTCAGTTTCCATGGAGTCCATGGCCTCATTTTACAAACTGTCCCACAAGCCGTCTTTAGAAACAAACTCCATGGCTTTTGATTTTGGAGGGAATGGCAGAAGCGAAGACATTTGGAAAAACAGCCACCACAACAAGCAAGCAAAACCAAAACCAAAAGGAAACAGTTACGGCATTTACCCTTGCCCTTTTAAATAAAAATGTATGTATCATCAATAAGGCTTTAGGTAAACTCATCAAATTTCCTAAAGTTCAACTTGGGGATATTAATAAAACAGGAATAAAAGGGTCAGTTTCAGTGGCTGGCTTTAGAAAGCGTGTGTTACTGGTCGCTGGCAAGGTTCACCTGACAGTGACGTGTGAGTGAGTCCTGAATGAAGTAAGGCAATGAGCAAGCAGGCAGATAGCTGGGAGGGAACATTCGGGCAGGGGGCTAGCAGGTGCAAAGGCACTGAGGTGGTAGAATGTGGGAGTGTGGTTGACATAACTCAAACTGTAAGAGGCACAGTATACCTGGGGAGGGGTGAATATGGAAGGTAGCAGGAGTGGAAATGGCGAGCGGGTGGGGGGAGGGTAGTGTAGGTTATAGGGCAAACTCACAGAGGACCTTGTAGTCTACAGGAAGAATTTTAGACCTTATTCTGGGAGAGATCTATTCTGAGTGTGATTTTCTCTTGGAAGTTCCGAGAAATATTCCTGTCTCCTTCCGGTTTTGTAAAAAATTGCTGATTTCTTGACTTAAGTATGGCTCCTAATTGCGAATTAAAGCATAAGAGATGTATTCTCAAGCCTGTGAGCTCATAAAAAGTGGAGAATGAATAACTTTGCTCTCAAGGTCAGCTACAGCCTGCTAGAGGTAGAGCCGGGGCCAGGAGAGGCGCGTAGAGCCTCATGTGTCGACGGGGTGCAAATTGAATCAAGGAATTGATAATTACAACTTGGGCCCCGTCTCCTGCTCCCAGGAAGGTGTGGCTCTTGAGGGGGGGGCTCAGGGGACGGGCTTTCAAACGGTAATTGGACCCCCGAGGAAATTACTATTTTGTCAGCTTCAGGATGACAGCGGCCCCTTCAAGCCGGCCCACCCAGAGAGCCCTGAAGGTCCATCAGGTTGGTGCAGGGCCGACTTCTTATTCTGTCCGATTTTGTGTGTCTAGGACACCTTTGGGGACAGAGAAGGGATGTTCTTCTTGATCTCTGTACACATTCACTTTGCCCTTCATCCCGGTTTTGGTTCAGTAATAAAAGCTCTGCTGGGATAGAGAGCCCCACTCAGCTGGACCCGCCTTTACCGACACCTTTCTGCCTCCAGCCCCCCGACCCCAGCGTTGCTTTGTCTCGGACACAAACCTGACACGTCTGTGGTAGACCCTGTGCTGTGGGAATCCACAGTAGTTCTGTCAGTTCCCGAGTGCACCCTGGGGTATGAGGCCGGGCCGGGCACCGGGGCCCTCTCAGCTTGATTCCCAAAACACGGAGTGTCCCCAGACTGCCTGCCATGGGAACAGCTGGGAAACGTTCTGAAAAGCCATTCCGGAAAACCCAGCGAGAATCCGTGGGAATTCCAGCAGGCTCTGAGGAGGAAGCTCCTTATGGTTGTTGTCACTGGAGAGGGGACGCAGAGGACCTGGGAGAATGTGTCTGGGGAGACAGAGTGGCAGGCGGCGTCTCCCGTGGAAGGTTCTTTGAGTATGTGCCCCCCCTAGATTGTGAGTGAGAGTCTGCCGCTGGCCCTAATAGCTTAGCAAATCCCCATCATTTGTGACTGCCCCATTTTAATAGGCACTACTGAATAATGCATAGTTAATTTGAGGGAAACCAAGCTAGGTGTTCATCAAGGGAAGAACGTGGCTTGGAATGGCGGCGTTCTGCGGTGCTCGATTCAACATCATAATTCACCTTATTAACTTCAATGGGCAGTGTCTACATGTCAAGACAAGCACGGCAGCTACACAGCAACAGCCACACCGGGGCTGAACAAGGACAAGCTTTATGCCTACTGCCTGATTAACTTTCCCTCTGGGGATTTCCTTCAGCCCCTACCTTTGTTCTAGAGAGCTCCTCATCTTCCCCTGTAGGGGCTCTGAGGGAGGGTTGGTGGGGGCGGGGGAAGCACCAGGTCCTTGAATGTGGCCCTACGGGCTACTCACAGCATGTCACCCGGGTCCATGACACTTCGGTCCCCTCTTCTGTGTAATGGGAACAGTAAAATTCATCTTCAGGGCGGTGCAGAGAAGCAGGGCTAACATTGGTAGATGCCAGGGACACAGGATTCCCTAGAGTGTGTCCTCTCTCGATCTGATTAGGAACAAATCTTAATTTCCCTCCATCCAATCAGTGCCTCTCCCCTAACGGTTTCTCCTACAGAACCATAGTTCCTGAATTCGGGAGAGATGTTTGAGCTGTGTGGATCTGTCCTGTGGGGCAGCTCCCCACATTGTAGATGAGGAAAGGGAGGGAGGAAGCAGTGAAGGACTGAAAAATGGGCAACCAGGCTCTACTGAGAACAGGCAACAGAAGAAACTTTGTCCTGTCTTCCCCTCCTCGACCTTTCCTGTAGTAAGCCCCTTTTTATCCTCGACAGGTGGATGGAGGGATTGGCTTGTCTGGTGATTGCTGTGGGCACAAGTCTATAAGCTTTTCTCAAACCTTGCTACTCGAGGTGTGAACCATAGATTAGTAGCAGTAGCTGCTGCCGGGAACTTGTGAGAAATACAGGACCTCAGACCTACTGAACCAGAATCTGCATTTTAACAAGATCCTCAGTGATCGTTCTGTGCATTAAAGTTTGAGCAGCACAGTTCTAAACCCTCCCTGAAAATGGATTAGGATGAAGACAATTCTATTGATCAGTACCCTTCTGGGGGTGATTGGGTAGTGGGTGGGATATATTGTCTAGAGTCTGAGAGTTTGGTTGATAAGCCACCTGTGTATGCAAGACTTGATCTTCCCCTCAGCCCCTACCATGTTGAAAGATAAGAGACTGTAGTCCCTAAGTTGTTTCCTAATAGGATGGGCCATGTAAATTGTCGAGCTTTTGTTTTGGTGTGGGGGGAGGGAGTGATAGGTGTAAGTTGGAATTTTGCCACCGTCAGAATTCTCTCCTGTCCTTCCCCTTCAGAGGATTCAACTAAGCCCTCCTTAGTAAAGAATTAATGTGTTTAAAGGCACCATTTGTAGGGGTTCCAATTTATTCCCCACCAAGGTGCCACTGGATATATTTATTTGGAGGGGTCCATGCCCTCTTGTCAAGCTCCACTGCCCAGACCTCAGGATCCCAGCAACCAGTTAGGCCCTCTTTAAATATGGGGTTCCCTGTACCAGAGCTCTTGAGTACAGAGAAGGAGTTATGTTCCCGGTCATTCTGTCTTGCTCCAGAGACCCTCTCTCTATTTCTTATTCTATTCCTCTTCTTCAGGAAAGGACATGAAGGCCCACCCGAGTTCAGAGGCTATGTGCCCAGCATATCCCCAGGTCCTCTCTAGGACTTGGTACAAGCTGGGCCAGCAAGGGATGCACCCTCCCGCGACACCACCCCCAGGCAGGACACTCTGCAGGGAGCAGGGATCTTTGGATATATTATGTTGGGTGCTTACCACTTTCTTCCCGTTGAGGCATGTCAGGGACAACATATGCTGAAAAATAATAACAACAATTATTAATAGGATGTGGTATGGTGAACTTGTCTGGACCTTTTGGTCCCTGAGGGAATCAAGTTAATAAAGTACATCCTAAATAGCTGGGGTAGACTGGGTGGAGATCATGGGTTTAGGGGTAAGTGGCTTCTGTCATCTTTGGTTTGAGGCCTGTTGTTTATACTCAACACATATTGATTCCCTTCCCTTTGTTGATATTTCATCTTGCCCATTAGAATGTAAGTTTAGAGAAGGTGTAATTTTTTTCTTTTTAGTTGTACATTGAGCTCCTGGAGGAACAAGTGTACAACATAGTGATTCAACAACTCTTTATGCTCTGCGATGTTCACCACGAGCGTGGCTACTATCTGTCAGAGGGTATGATGGTTTTGTTCATCTTATACCCTGTCCAGTATGCAGTAGGTGAACAGTAAGTTTGCTAGATATACAGTTAATGTCATGGAATAAACTGAGTATGGGTAACCTATTATCTTTCCTTCCAATTCCAGTGGTGAGTACCCTTATCTCCCTCTTCAAAATTCAATTTTAATTCAAATTTAAAAACATGTTTACCCTTTGGCTCAGTTTCTTCCTTGGTCCCTGAGGCTTGCACCAAGCCCTAGAAATAATACTTTGGCCACAGGCCTTAGTAAGATTGCTTTAGTCTAAAATGGTCAAAGGAGATCTCTCTTTGGCCAGGGGCATAGTCATCCTGTTATTCTTACCTTCTTGTGGATGGATTTGTTAATTTCTACGAGTCATTTAAAATCATCCTCAAATCATAAAATTTAAATACCTTCCGATTCCGGCTTTACAGTGGTTAGTGTGGTTGGTGAGAGTTTTAATTTTGATTTTGATTTTGCGGTTGCTGTTAAAAGACAGAAGAAGGTGACTGTCAGCGATTTGAACTTCACACTTTCTGAGGGGTTCATATTAGACATTTAGGGTCTGAAGTTCTTCCTCGGTGCCCAAGGCTGATGGAGAGATGGGAAGAGCAGGTTGGAGGGCACTGCTGGCATATACCGGACACGCCCCCTGCTGGCATATACCGGACATGCCTCTAGTCCTCTTTAGTTCTGATAACTTATCCAAGACTGCAGTGAACCAGTGGTTGGGACACGTATGTAGACTCTCTGTGGCCTTCTCTGCTCACCGCTGGGCCAGTTAAGGACCCTCAGAATAGATAGAACAGCAAAGGGGGGAGATTTTAGAGCTCCGAGTCGCTCCAAAGCCATGTGGAAATGGGGTGTGCGTGTCACTACGGGAAGTGGGCATCTCTGCTCTCCTGTGGCTCTCGGAGGAGTGTGGGATGGGAGCTAGCTGGGACACACGTGGACTATCTAGTACAGATGCACTACCATATGCAACAGGAGGCCACTGTATTTTCTGAGGGCTTTTGTAAGTTCTTGGCTATTACTATTTTATGTCTTCTGGGATTTTTTAGTCCCTATTCCTTTTTGCGCCCTCCCCACCTCTCCTCCTTCCTATCCCTAAGCCTATGCATGTGCATACACACACATCCTATATATAAATCCTATGTATACACAGCAGAGAGTAGCAAGCCAATGGTCAACAAGCAGGGGCAACCTGCTCCACCTGCCCCTGGGGGTGTCAGGATTCGAGCCTGGTTCCGGGGTGCCAGGATGAAAGCCTCCCGCACTCAGGCAGCGTCCCTGCCTATTAGTCCTCCAGCTGAGACCGGGCCCGCTGCAGACGAGGACCTCTCCGGCTATCCCACTGTGGCATCGCTCTGACTGTTAGGAATCTGGGCTTTTTTTTTTTTTTTTTAACATATTTCCCAGAAGGGGGTCCTATTCTAGCCCTTCAGTGCACATGCAGAGTCAGGCCTTGTCCTGGTGCGGCAGAACATGGATGTCTGAAGGCAGCTGTCCTCTCTTGGAGCCGCATGTCTTCCAAGCTTACCACCCCCTTGGCTCCGACGCTTTCATGGATGACGCAGCCTCTGGGTCTGCCTAATGCCACTCTCTCCTCCAAATCTGCTTCCAACTCTCATACAGTGTGGCAGTCCCCACACTGAACAGCTGTCCCGGGGCTGGCCTTCCGGTGCAGGCTCACACAAGACTGATTTCTGTTTATATAGTCTTTTGATTGGATTTGGTTACACTAGCCTTTCTGACACTTGCATCAGTCACACCAGTGACTTCTTGAACTTGTGGCTGAGTCAAGTGTCTACATCCAACAGACCTTCCCCACCTTGTACTTTTCCATCCTATCATTTTTGTGGGCTTAAAAGCAGGATCTACTCTAAGTTCGCATTATATTTCATCTAGCTAGTCCCAGTTCAATGTTCCCGCCTGTCAGGATTGTTTAGAATCTGATTACATTATCCCCATCAACCAACAGCTTCAGGTCATCTGCAAATGTAAGTATTCCTCCTACATCCGTATCCAGGTCTAGAATAAGATGCTGTACAGAGCCCCGTGGCTCCCCACTAGAAACTCAGTTCACTCCGATACTTCAACAGTATCTCTGGGCGGTTATTCGAGAGTTCTCATTTGATCATCTTCCATTAGCATCCACCTGACCCTGCTCCATCTTGTCCATGGGAACAGCTGGAAGACTTTGAAATGAGCCCCTTGGGGCATTTGGGCCCACTGGGTTACCATAGTTCGTTGATCTACTAACTTTGTCAAAACGTGACCTTGATTTGTTCTTAGTCACCCTATGCTGGTTTCTTGTGACCATTTTGCTCTCAATATTTGCCCTAGGTTGGTCGTACAGACTCATTTCCCAATTTCTCAAAAACCATAAATGTGATTAAGCCACTCTCACTCTATAGATATTCTGGTGTATATTTTAACCCAGTCAGAACACAGAGTTATCATTCCCTTCTGATCTTTCCACCAGCCTTTGGTTTCTGGTATTTCTCGCCCAATTTTGTTGCATCTGTTTCAATCTGGAGATTATTTCCCTTCTTAGTGAAGTAAAAATTAAATACCAATCAAAGAACCTGACTTTCTCCGACTCAGCCCTCAACATTGCACTAAACATTGGCCCTGTTTACCTTGATCTTCGTTTTGCCCTAATCATAGTTTATTTTTTAAAAAAATTTAATGTTTATTTTTGAGAGAGAGAGAAAGAGCAGGTGCATGTGCCTGTGAATGCATGAGTGGGGGAGGGGCAGAGAGAGAGGGAGATACAGAATCTGAAGCAGGCTCCAGGCTCTGAGCGGTCAGCACAGAGCCTGACTTGGGACTGGAACTCATGAACCTTAGCCAAAATCAGAGGCTCAACCGACTGAGCCAACCAGGTGCCCAACCCCAATCATATTTTCAAAGGACCCCCGTCTTTTGTGGCTTCCTGCCTTATGACGATGGTGGTGGTAGTGGTGAGGGTGATGGCGACAACGATGACTTTTTGGTAAGAATAAGTTTACCCTGGGCTTCAGCTCTCCTAGCACCATTCTAAAGTTTGAGCAATTTTCCTACCTTTATCACAGGTAAGCTTCTCATCTTTTGAACCTGAGTGTGATCTTTCAAAATCCGAGTCCGCCACGGGAAATGGCACAAGTTTGTACTTTGGGGAGTTTTCCAACCCTCTTCTCCATCTGGCCAGGTGGCTTGAAGTAAACCACTCCACTGACAGCACCCCCTCGCTGTTTATCCTCACCCACATCCCTAGTATCTCCTTGTGTACATCTTTCTACACACAGCCCCCTTCCTACCAAGACTCTTTTGGGGAGTAGAATATACCCTCCTATCACCATATCTGGCCTTGAATCAGTGGATTCCATGACAATTTTGCAAGTATTTGACAAATATTGTAGTATGCTTACATAAGCTTACTATGTGCCAGGCACTAAGTCTTGAGGATTTTTACAGCCATGGCTATAATGCTCTGTGTTAGAACTTGTGCAGTTCTTTACGACCTTGCTCTGTGCCTGGATAGGTAGACACCTGAGGCCATAAATAGCCTCTCTGGTGCTCCTTCGGAACACTCCCTTATATAGGTCATGAGGCATCTCTGTGCCTTTAGCATCCCTTCCGTATCAGACCTGCCACTCTCCGTAGCAATAGGTTTCAGGGACTTATCTGGATGTTCTTCCTCCATATTTCGTTCAAAGTCTTACTTGTTGAGAAGGGCCTTGCCATGTAAAATGCTGTTTCTGGCCCACTGGCGTTGAACAATTTCATAATTCACAAATACTTTAACAATAGGAACGTGGCACCCGTGAAATTTATCCTCCACTTGAGGTTTTCTGGTTCTCCAATGTTCCTGTGTCTTCATAGCCTCTGGGGATGTTGTTGAGAATGCAGACAGGGATCCTGAGAAGGCTGGAAATCTGCATGTTTACAGTAAATCTGGGACAGGGAGGCACAGTCCCGGACCCGGAGGAATAGCGTCATCAGTGCCTGCTCTCATCTTCGCTGTTCCTACTGCCCTCAACCCCACACAGCCGGCATCTTGGATTGTTTTTGTCTCAAGTCTCTGTGTTTCTCCAACAAGTGGATGGGTGGTTTCTGCCCTGGGCCTAAAGCAGGTACTTTTTCACATCTTCCATGTTTGGGAATCCTTAGTGTTCCGTGCTCCAGCTTCAGAAGGACTGGCTTTCCTCCATGGCTGGTGCCCCATCCCCATCACCCACATTTCATTTTCCCTGTGTCACTTTCCTCTCTCTCCTCTTGAGGTGGTTTTGAGCCCTTCCACCTTCCTCGAGCTCTGTACTTCCCGGTTTTTTCCTGTGCGCCGTCACTTTCTCTTACAACTCTTTCACACACAGATGGACATATCTTTGTCATCTATTTGCCCCATTCTATTGCCCAGACATAATCATGTACATATTGTAGGGATGTTTTACCCAACTGTTACCAATGCTCTCCAATGGACAGCTTGCACATCCAAAGCAGAAGGGGAAAGAAAAGCCTCCACAAATTTTAGAGAGCTGCTTGCTGTCCCCTGTGTTTCAGTCTCTGCTGTAACCACCATCCCTCCACAGAGCTGCAGGAACCTGGGCTGTGTCACTGATTCTGGCTTAGGGGCTCCAACACAGAGCACACCCTTGGTCTAGGCCACCACGTCACATTATTTGATCAGTAGGCATTTCCTGTGGGTGACTAGACTTTTAATAAACACTAAACATATGTTGGCTGTAAAGAACTCAGTATTAAAAAGACACTCAGCTGCAAAACCAATGCCCCTACAGACCAGATATGCAGAGTGCTTCAAACCTAAATTAGATACAGACATGACTAGCTCTGTAAATTAAGCTTTGGGACGAGAAGGATCATGAATGAACAGGTCAAATAAAACAATGACTGCAAGAGGCTCTCTCTCTGGAGGTGGGTCCACGGCTGTAAGACCAGGCTTTGATGCTCCCCCTTCCCTCCCCCCAGCCTTCTTCTGTCTCCTTTCTCCCCTCACACTTCCTTTCAAACTTGGCATTGGCACTTAACAGGCTATTACCCAGCAAATGACTTTTAGAATCCTGCTTATGAATATTTAGATAAATGCTCAGATTTTTCCCAGCTGTCATGCTTATTGACTTTGAAATGGTTCCAGTTCTCAGGGCTCCACCAGAGCTCACGTGCTGACCAAAGTCCCACACGAGCTGATTTAGCCCGTAAACTACTCCTCATCCTGCCCGGGCTGCCCGTGCCACTGAGCTCCTGGCTTGCGTGGCCCTGCCCTCTGCCTCTCCACTCTCCCTCATAGAGTTTCTGCCTCTTAATTTCATTTACCCACATTTGAGCTACAAAATATAGCAGGCACGGATGCGGGCAGGGAAGTGGGGGTGACGGGGGAATCTAATTTACCGCTGCCATGACTACAGATGTGAAATGAATCTGTGAACCCGCGATGGATCAATCTCAGGAAGGCGGGATTTAAATTATTAATAATGGCAAGAAATGCTATTCAGTGTTCCATCCTAGGATCCTAGAGTGAGGGGACTTTGGGCTTAATTGGGTAGAGGATTAAGATTCTCAGTGCAATCTTGCCAAACTGTCTCTTGAGTGTCTCCCAGTTGTGGCTACAGAAGTTCACGCTACAGAGGATTTGTGCTGGTTCTGAGTCCTGGCTTGTTGGACGGCATGCCGAGAGACTATCCCATTTGCCACTGTCCACGGGATCATCCTGATACAGCCCATCATCCCAAGGAACCAGTCTGTAATCTGGGAAGGTAATGGCCTGTGTCCCTGAGGGAAATAGGGTCTGTGTTCATGTAGAACAGAACAGGAAGACTGATGAAAAGAGAGGGAAAGGTATTTGTTTTAGCCCTTTGCTGATGCTCTTTCTCTGAGGGGGGTCTGGGCTGGAGGATGGGGGTAGCAGGGCTAGTCTAGGAGTTTAACTTCTTACCTAAAATACCACTTTGAATGGCACAGGAAGCAGTGTATATCATTAGCATGAGAGGCAATATGAGCGCCATTCTACTTCACACACATGGAGTGCATTCCCCTTCCAGCCCCCTGTGCGATGGCCGGCAGCGGGCCGCTCCCCTTACCCGACGTGGTCTCATAGATCCATTCTGTCTGCGTGCTGTGGTCCCGCCAGGCCAGAAGTTTTGCACCTTGCAGCATGGAGGATGTAGAAGGTATCATGTCATAGTATGGAGACTCGTGGGAAAGTTCAGAGATGGAAGGAGGGGCAGCGTACAAGGTGGTCCCTTGAGAAGGCATCCTGTCAGAGGGAGCACAGAGGCAGGTCAACTTCCGCACAGGAGTCAGGTTAGGCACTGGGTTCTTTGGCCTGCTAGGAAGGTGGGGGTGGGGTGCTACTCTCCATCTCCTGCAGACCCTTCCCATCCCACATGGTGGATGTCATGAGTTAGAAGGGACCTACTTGTAGATGGTGGCAAATAGGCCCATGTGGCATTCTGGGCAGCCCAGCCACACATCGTCAACTCCTGCTTCATTTGGAGTAGAAGTCTGTATGGATGCCTTCAAAGGCCAATGGGCCAGGCTTCCATTCCAGAACATTCTCTCCTTGCGGGCTCATGACCCTGCTCATTTCAGTGGCTCTTTCTGCCTTACTGCTGCCTCAGGAAGAGTGGAAAAAAATACCAAAGTAGATGCTGTAGCTTAAAATCAAGCACTGAGGCCTGTCCCCTCTAGTCTGCCCACTATTGATACCAGCAATATGGAGAAAGGTTTCACATGGCCTGATGACAGAGCATTGGCTGTGAGGCAGAGGCCCTGCCATTTGGTAGCTTAGCATCTAAAGAGACAACCTCAACACACCACGCTGCGTTCTTCCTCAGGAATCTCTGGCTTTTAAGTGGGGACAAAGACCTGTAATTTAAAGGGATAAGAGGGGTCTTTGGGGTGTTTCAGCCCTGAGGTCACCTCATGTAAACTGGCCAAATGGCAGAGACAAGCGTAAGGGAAAATGCCCAACATATAAATGGGCGGTGACCAGGGTTGCTAGACAAAACACAGTCTTTGGGGTCAAATGACCCGAGCTGAAATCCTGGCTCTAACACAATTGTGGAGTAACTTTGGGTAGCCTACTTAACTCCTCTGTGCTTCAGCTTCTGCACCTTCTGATAAGCATACCTCCCTCATGGGTCTCCGCCGCTGGGGACAAAATGGGAGTGTGCAAGCGCGTTCTTGGCTGCTGCTGTTCTTACTGGGGAAGTAAGTGGTTTGGTGGCCCTTTAGAGACAAGCCTGTTCCCTGTCTGGGTCAGTGTTCCCCCCTGCGGAGAGGGACAGGCAGGGGGTGAGGGGCTGTGGTCTGAGGCTGGGAGATGAAGAGGTTGAGGGAAAGAGGAAGAGGCCACTTGCTCTACCCTGGGGGCTCAGCGTCTGTGGGAGTTACAGATAGATCTTGTTTCACTTCCAAGGGACCCAGAGCCTAGGGCTAGGGCTACGGCACAGCGGCTGTGTTCTCAGGGTGCACCATTGAAATGGAGCAGTGGGGTTAAGCGGCAGATGGCATATCCCAGATCGGGTGACTACCGGGATCAAGTACTGGTGGACGTAGGTAAGCTCTGTAGGCAAGTGTCAACTCTTGCCCTGTTCCAGGCCTCAAGGCCAGATCAGGAGACTCCCAGGCTTTATCCTTCTAGTGGGATGATGCCTCTCCGATCTCACTCACCAGGTGCTCCCTGGGACCCCAAGAAGTAATGCAAATCCCCATGAAAGGACTCTGAGAAGTCAAAGCTGCCCCATACAATGAGGGGATGATACTTAAGGTAATGGCGGGCCCATCTGGTCATTGCCATCGCCATGGACATTTACTCAGCATCCCACCTGCCACACCTGCCCTGGGCTGGGACGCTGCAGGGTCTCTGGGGTACCTGTGGCAGCAGGGCTGGGGGCCTGGCCTACCTGGGCCCAGCGCCAGCTCCCCGCCCTGTCTGCAAGGGAAGGGTGCAGGACAAGCCATGGGTCCTGGGTCCTGGGGAGCCTTGGCTGCAGGCCTGCACCTTCAGGGGTTTCAGAGTGGGGGAGGGGCCTGGCGCACTGGGTCCGGGGGCCTCCAGGGCATGTGTGTACAAGTGGGAGAGGGAGACTTCCTGTCTATCAGGCACCTGCTTCCTTTTCCCACCCCCTGCCTTATGAGTGCCACACGGCCTGCCTACAGTGGTTTGCGCCTTTCAATCTCTCAGCAACCTTGTGTCAGAAAACGCCAGGGGCTCTCTGAGCACCCAGGCCCAGACCTGGACTCTGGGACCCAAGTGGGGAGGGTGCGTGACAAACGCAGGTGAGGCCCCAGGGCCCCTCTGATCCCCACGCTCCTCAGTGACAGGAAAGTCACTCAGCTGCAATATGAATAAAGGGCTGGATGGGTGCATGTGTTTAGATTAAAGCTGATCCCATATCGTGACTCTTGTTCCAGGCAGGCGAAGTTTCCGCGTGGGGGCTCACGGGGAGCAGACCAGGAGTAACAAGGGTCCACAGCACTTACTGAGCATGTGCTGTGCACTAGGCACTGTTCTCAGGGAGCCCCGCGAGCTGATGCTTCATTTCATCCTGACCGCAGCCTCCTGCGGCTGAAATGCTCACTGTCCCCATTTTATGGATGAAAAGTCCTGGGCACAAGGAGATAAGTGGCTGCCCTAGGGCACACAGCTGCCGGGAGGAGGAGCTGAAATTCTCACCCAAGCAGCCTGGCGCCCGAATCCCTGTTCTAAGTCACGGCCTTTCCCGTGGTCACTGCTCTGGGCGTCAGCAAGTGAGGTGAAGGGGCCTCTGAAGAGCTACTCTGTCTTATGTGTTGCTGCAGTGGAGGTGAAGCCGGAGGCCCCGCGGTGCCCCCGGGAGGGTGCAGTGCAGAGCCCAGGGCCGGTGTGTGTTTGTGTGTGTGGCGGGGGGAGCAGCAGTGGGGGCCGCTTCACCCACACCTGTGGGCTCCCTACGTCGAAGAGCGGGGCCCTTCTTCCTGCGCCTCACTAACACTGAACCGCCCTGTGCTTTCTTTGTATTGAAGAGCCAAAAATTAAGTCCTCCATTAAGAGAAACCTCGGGCTGCACGTAGCCCCAGTCCCAGTCCCAGGAAAAGCCTGAGATTGTTCAAGGCTAAAGCCATCCTCCGACCGCCCTCAGTTCAGCTAATCAAAAAACATTCCTATGGTCTGAGTCAAGGCTGGGAACTGCAGATGCAAACTAGCCAATTTCTCACCGCTTGCCTGAACCCCACGTGGGCCCTTTGAACTCACCTCATAATTGGTCATTTTCAAAGGATTCTCAAAAGTCATGATTGGGTCCCACCAAAAGTAATGAACACCTCACAGATACTGAATGGTCAAAGCTGTTACCAGGGGTGCTGTACAATTGTAATTGGTGCTTATGTGATGATGCTACATGTACTGTAACACCCCCATCACTTACTCCTTAAAAACCCCGTTTGCTATTGTTCTTCACTTCACCTTGCTGCCACGACACCGGTAGGTGGGTGAGCCCCTGCTCGAGCTTGTAGTAAAGACCCTTTTGTATTTGCATCGGTGCCGGCTCCTTGGACGTCTCTGAGGACTCGCGATTCGGGCACAACAGTATCCTAGTGCCAACCCACTTCACCGGTGCCCCCCCACCAACAAATCATGCTTTGGGGAGGGATTGTTGGGGAAGACAGACACCAGGAAGAGGCCTGGGAGTGGGAGGTTGGGGGTAGCCCCCCACCTTGGTTTGTGCAGAGCTGAGCGCATAGGAGGAGGCATTTACCCACCTGTTCCAGAAGTATGTCAGTGACTGTCTTGCATGCGCGGGGCCCTGGGGCAGTTTAAGGAGTGCCCACTGGATGGTAATCTAGACCTCGGAAACAGGCCTGATCCGGGAAGATGGCAACTCTCTGGTGGGCATTCGTCCATCTGTTTACTGTGAGCACGGCCACAAGCCCCTGCCACCTGGCTCAGGTTGAGACCTGCCCCACACACTCAGACAACTACTGCCCTTTCATCTCTGACGTTCTGGGTGCCCAGGAATCGGACCTTGGGAACTGCCCCTCACCCTAGGAGCGGCTGAGTGGCAGAAGGGGCAGTGGTGGGAGGTCCTTCCTGTGGGACTCCTGGAGACCTCAGCCCTTCCCCCAACCCCTCCTTCTGCAGGGGGCCTGCACCCTGCGCTGTCTCCCTACCCCTCTACTTCCCATCTGTGGGACGCAAAGGCTCCTGAAGCATCATCCCTAAGCATGAATTTCTATCTGATTTATCCAAAAAGAAAACTATTACCTTGTTAGGTTAGACAGGTTTCTCCATGAATTTTCCACCTTGAATTCTATTGGAAAAAGAATAGAAAGACATTATTGAAAAAAAAGAAAGGCATCTTTTTCTTTTCTATTTAAAAATGTGTTGTCAAGTATGTGCTGCTGGGTTTGGGGTGGGGAGGCCCTGACTTGTAGAATTTTTCTGTTTTTACTTTTCATTAGTATTGTGTCTCTTAATGGATTCCTTTAGAAATTACAAGGCTAAATTTCATAAAGTCAATGAGAACTCAAGAAGATAATTTTTTTTTTTACAAATAGTTTATTGTCAAATTGGTTTCCATATAACACCCAGTGCCCATCCCCACAAGTGCCCTCCTCCATGCCCATCTCCCCCCTCCCCCCCCACATCCATCAGTCCTCAGTTTGTTCTCAGCATTCAAGAGTCTCTCATGGTTTGCCTCTCTCCCCCTCCCCCACTATTTCCCCCCTTCTTCTCCCTCACGGTCCTCTGTTAAGTTCCTCCTAACCCTCCTATACGTGCAAACATATGGTATCTGTCCTTCTCTGCCTGACTTATTTCACTCAGCATAACACCCGCAAGGTCCATCCATGTTGCTACACATGGCCAGATTTCATTCTTTCTCATTGCCATGTAGTATTCCATGGTATAGACAAAACACATCTTCTCAAGAAGACAATTTTCATGAAAGCATGGATTTTGGAAATTCAAGTTTGCTTTGTTAATCTTTGGTTTATTAGAGAGACCTCCCTCTGTCCTGAGATGAAGGATATCTGTACAGAAGAGGTGACTGAGGTTAGAGGTTATAAATATTAAATTTTTTAAAACATTTATTCATTTTTGAGAGTGAGAGAGACAGAGTGTGAGTGGGGGAGGGGCAGAGAGAGCTGGAGACACAGAATCAGAAGCAGGGTCCAAGCTCTGAGCTGTCAGCACAGAGCCTGATGTGGGGCTCGAACTCACAGACCATGAGATGATGACCTGAGCTCAAGTTGGTTGCTTAACTGACTGAGACACCTGGGTGCCCTGAGGGTATAAATATTTTAAAAATTAGTTCTAATTTCAAAGAGGCTGCTTGTGTCATTTAATTACCCATTTGCCTTGAATGATACATCAGGAATTTCATGCACAATTGGGATAAAATATGCCATCAATTCTAATAGTAGAGACTGGCACAGTGGAAGTAGTAAAGAAATGAGAACCAGAATTTAAAGTTTGAAACTTCAGTGTTCAACACTTATCCTTACCCATAGTTTACTCATGAGACAGAATATTATTGAGGAATATTACTTGGCTGTTAAAATGATGTCTACAAAAATTAAGCAACAGGGGCAAATATTAAAGTCACAGTACTGTTACAAAAATAAAGTGCAAACTTGTACACACAGTATGTTTAAAACAGTAAACACAAAACTACAAAACAAGGACCACCAAATATAGAAAAAATAAGAGTGGGAAAGACAGCATAAAAATCACTAAAAAGTGAACCAGGTTTATTTATATTTGGATGTTGGTAGAGTGGACAATATTTTTATACTGCTTTTCAAGTTTTCAATTAGAAAGTGATTAAAAGTAGGGGCACCTACTCAGTATGGCTCAGTTGGCTGTGCACCACAACTCTTGATTTTGGCTCAGGTGGGATTGAGCTCTGCACTGGGCTCTGCGCTGAGCATGGAGCCTGCTTGGGATTCTCTCTCTCTCTCTCTCTCTCTCTCCCACTTTCACTCTCCCTTGCTAATGTGCTTTCTCTCTCTCAAAAACAAACAAATAAATAGATTTTATTTCTTTTTATGACATTCTCCTAAAATTAAAATATGCACATAATTTATTAAAAAGCCAAAACAAAGAATGAAAGGAGGAAGGAAAAGAGAAAAGACAGAGAGGTATTAGAAGAAGAAGAAGGAGAAGGAGGGGGAGGGGGAGGAGGAGGGGAAGGGGAAGGGGAAGGGGAAGGAGAGAGGAGAAACCTTGGGAGCCTGTCTGGGTTCCACTAATGGTTTTCCATGACCTTGGAGGAGTCACATACCCTCTCTCTGACTCCAGGTTCTTCATCTGCAAAGTGGGGACAAATAATGGCTGGGAGAATTTAAGGGGACAAAGATGGTGAAATATACAACACAAACCCGTTGCCACCGCACTGTGCTCCCGACCTTGCATAAGACACGTACAGAGACACGTATAGAAAATGATGCCGTTTGTTCCAGAGCAGAGTGGAGGCTGCGAGCGACTGGCCTTGGGGCTTGGCCTCTCCCTCATCAGTTCCAACTCGAGGCAGGCTGGTTGCAAAGCTGTCTCCATCTGTGAAGTTTCCTGCCTGACAAACTGGCTGGCTCTCCCATCCCTGCCTTATCAATATATTGCAAACCTTTTTTCTTCAATACACAGAAAATTGCTGGGGACCCTGTTGGAAAGGGTTGTTGGGGCATCAACTCTCAACTGGAAATGCAACTGAATGCTAATAGCATTTGTGCCAAACAGCATCTGGAGCTGTGGAAGAGGGGGTGCGGGTAGCAAGGGTAAAGGAAATCAAATCCAGCAGTTACACATATCAAAATACAATTGGGCAAAAACATGAATCAAAATTAATATACTGTGACATCTCTATGGTATTATCTGCCACAAAGCAGACTCCATCTTTAGGAAGGTCTGGAGTTCTAATAAAAGAAAAGGGGCTTCATTATGGGGTGGCTTCAGGTTCTATGACAGCATGATAGTAACATAGATGGCACTTCCTTCTAGCACCTCCCGCCCACGTGAAATCAGAAGAGCATTTTTGCACCTCATAATTGAGGTGGGAGAGCTTTCAAAGCATTTTCAGATCTACATTTTCATTTAAATATTGCAACCAAACTGTGAAGAAAAGTAGTTTTACATATGGGCAAACTGAAGCTTAGAGAAAGTAAGTGACATGCCCAAGGTCAAAGGCCCCACAGTTTGCTGGATCATCTGACTTTGACATCACAGCTGCAGCGTGTACATCCACAGTTTACAAAACCTACGTGGAACCTCCCGGAGAGATCAGTCATATGGAGCTATTGATTATTCAGTGGCAATTGATGCTGCATTTATATTCAAGTTGCTCATCTAATTTTATTGGATTTCCCCACAAACCATGGGGGAAATCATTTCTTTAAAGAAGAGAGGAGGGTACAGGTTGTTAGGGTGACCCTACCCTGATTTATCCAGGGTAATGGGAGCTTCTGAAATTGCCCTGCCTGCAGAGTAGTTAGGTGGGGGGCACAGATCCCTCCCACACCCCAAGTCATTGCATCCTCTTTTTGTTAAGCCCAATTCACAAATTGAGTGGGGTAGGGTGTGTGGTGGGGGGAGTATAAATTACCCTTCACAAGTCAATGGTAGGAGAATAATGAAACAATACGATACAGGAATAGTAATAGCAATAGTAGCTAACACTTCCATAGGCTTCAAATGCTATGTGCCCGGCAGAGTTCATAATGCTTTACATGATTTAATCCCTTTAATCTTCACAAATATCCTGTAAGGTATGTCTATTGTTATTCCAAATTTATAGTTAAGAAAACCAGCACACGAAGGGCTTCAATGACTTGCCCAAGTTCATGCACTAATAGGGAGAGACCTCACATGCAAACCTAGGCAATTAAGCTCCTGAGAAGGGAAGAAAACTGTGTTCTTTGTGATAGGCTTACATCTACCACCAAATAGACACTCTTGCTCCTTCGTCCCCTTGGGCCAAATGGGGCCTCAGAATCTTTCTCAGCATAGTGCTCCACCGCTAGTCTCTAGTAATTAATCCAACAACCAGAGAGAGAGAAGCCCGTTTTGTCATTTCCAGGTGCCAATTAATTTATAAAAATATTTTAAAAAATAAATACAGGTGTGTGCATGTGTGCACACATGCATGTGTGTTTGACTTTATGAAACAAATGACATTAAACTTGATTCAGTTTGCTGAGCATTTGCTATGGGTCAGGAAGGCATTCTTGTGCCAAGGGCAAAGCAAATTTATATCTTAAAGGATATTCCACATAAGGAAATCTTGATGTAAATTCTTTTGAAAAGTTCCTAATCTTGTTGTAGACCCTTTTTAATTTAACCTGTTTTGTGCACCCTGGCTTGGTACCCTGGATTTTCATAGACCAAAACATTCCTTCATGTGCCTTTAAAGGCATTTTAACGTTCCTTTACAGTTTTTTCAGTGCCTCTCCAACTTTTGCTAGCAGGACATTTATTTTCAAAGCTTTTGCTTTATACACAGTTCCATTCACTTGACAGCATTGTATTTGTCCTACTCTAGTGGGTAATATATTACAAAGGCCCAGTGCATACAGGGAACATGTTAAGAATGCTTGATTCATACCGTGCAAAAGAAATGGCCCAAATGCTATTTTTCAGTATTGGAATTACACTTGGTATTTGAACAGCAGGGATATTAGGATTCTGAGAGGCAGAGAGGCACACACAAAAGAGAGTTTCCCAGCACTAGAGAATTATCTCTCCAGCGGCCCAACTAAATTTCTACGGGGGTAGCAGGAATCTAGGATGATGCATCTGGCTTGATGAAGAGGGATATAAAGGCAAAAATGCCTGTGTGGCTGTTAAGAACACCCAGTTTTTGGATGTAGGCTGTGTGTAATCAGACTGGGATTTAAAAATTCAAGTTGCCAAACAACAACAACAAACCAAAAAACCCAAAAGCAGAAAACACAAAACACAAAATCAAGCCGCCTGAGATGCTTGCAGTGGGTAACAGAACCAGTTTCAGAAAAATAATGTAGTTCTGTTTCTAGGTTGACGTTAAGATGATGCAGATAACCTGGATTTTTAGCTGTATGAATTTGGTTGGATATACAAGGCCATGCAGTCACGTGTGCAAAGAAAGGCACTGCATGGGCCTATGAGAAAGTGTGAATGAGCTGCCTCCGACTATAGCATGAGAAGGCCACTGCCAAGTAATAAAGCCCAGTTTAAGGAAAAGGTGCCAAGTGCAGAAACAGTATTGGAAAAATGTCAGCCCCAGGATGAGAGAAATCACTCCAACGTTAAGTACCAGCAGGGTAAGATGGTGCCTTCCAGGGACCTCCTGGGCACCCTGAGAAGCATACTAGTGTCTGTGGACCTGGCAACAGACTGTGAGATGTATTCTAGGAAGTAATTAGAGGTGACTGATAAAACTGAGTTCTAAGGATGTTTATCAAAGTGCTGTGTGAAAAAATAACAAAAAAATGAGAAGCGATGAATGATTAATAATAGGGAATCGATTAAAAATATTATGGCTTGCAACAGACACACGAAACGATGCTCAGCATCCCTCCTCATCAGGGAAATACAAATCAAAACCACACTGAGATACCACCTCATGCCAGTCAGAGTGGCTAAAATGAGCAAATCAGAGAACTCTAGATGCTGGCGAGGATGTGGAGAAACAGGCACCCTCTTACACTGTTGGTGGGAATGTAAACTGGTGCAGCCCCTCTGGAAAACAGTGTGGAGGTTCCTCAAAAAATTAACACTAGAATTCCCCTATGACCCAACAATAGCACTGCTAGGAATTTACCCAAGGGAGACAGGAGTGCTGATGCATAGGAGCACATGTCCCCCAATGTTCATAGCAGCACTCTCAATAGTAGCCAAAACATGGAAAGAGCCTAAGTGTCCATCCACGGACGAATGGATCAAGAAGATGTGGTTTATCTATACCATGGAATACTACATGGCAATGAGAAACAATGAAATCTGGCCATGTGTAGCAA